TTTGCTATCCTTGCTGCTTGGTCTGACGGTTCAGGCGTGGCAGGCCCCTGGCTGATATCTTGACCTTGTATTGACGCATCCACCCTTGCCGGTTTAATCCATTGCTTTAGTAGTGTAACGCCCCACCATAATCTTTTCTTGTGGGACACTTCCTTGAGTCATCCAGCGCATTGCTCACAACAGCTCGTGCTCTGCTCGACTCTAGCTAGTTCTCATATTTATCACCCTCGCAGCTCCATTGTGACAACCAGCTCCTCGCTCTTCATGGTTATTGTGGTCACGGGAGGAGGCGGTTCTTCTTTTTCTTCTCTCGCAACCATCAAGTCGTTAAAGTCGTCAAGGGCTCAGCCCATCTCTACAATCTTTTTTGCTTCACTTTTATAGTTGGTGCAACATGCTGTCAAGTACACCCTGGCGAGGAGGGTGGTCCTCCAGCTCCTCAATGTTGTTCTTTTGGAATAATCGTTTCCCACATATATTGTCTCTTTCTTTGGTCTCCTCTCCAGCTGCTTTAGAATACCATCCTTCATTTCCCGTGTTATACGGTTGGGGTGGATTGACATCCCAGTTGTCAGGTGTCTATCCCAGTGGCTCGTCTATTGTTGTAGGCTTGCACAACTCGTCACAATCTTCCTCTCCTATATAGCTCGAGTACTCCAGGCTCACAGCAGGATTGTAGTTGGTACAAAGGCTTGGTGCCTTACGATTTTCTCAGTCGGTTCCTTGACTGGTGGGCAGCTTGGGTCGAGTCTTCGGTTGCATTGTTTGGTATGGTGTTGCCGTTATCACTGGCCATATAATGTCACGTCCTATAGTCATCTTGTGGGTGATCTAGTCGATCTCATGCTCCATTTTTTCCAGCCATTGTAGTCCAATATCAAGTCAAAGGTTCCCAACGGCATTTCCACCGTTGTTATGGTCATCTCGCAGCTTCCCATGATGGGTCTCAGCCCGTGACGTCTCACAACATCCTCGACCTTGCTCCTGTCCAACAATGTGATGTCTAAGTTATTCGTCGCCACACGACACCTTTATCTGCATTCTTCCGGTAGTATCCCCTTTGCCACAAACTTACCTCTAGCTCTAGAATCCACTAGAGCTTTGATGGTTCAGACTTTTAGCTTCCCAAAATAGCAAGGTAGTTTCCTGGTGCCTCCCACGCATTGCCACAGTAGGGTAGCTCGTCTCCTGGTCGGTCTTGGTGACTCTCTATGTTAGTGACGTTGTGATATCTGACGTCCGGGCTGGCTGGGATGCGTTCTCTTGGCCTAGGTTTTGTTGCACAATCCTTTGCAATGTGCTCATATCCTTTGCATCGGTGGCACTATACTCCGGCGGGCCTTGCTCTTTGCACATTATCCACTTCCATTGGTGTTGGCCCAACACGTAGCACCGGTCGGGGTAAGTTCAGTATGGATGGTTCTGTAAGTTGGTGCCTTGATGTCCCGTTCACTATGAACAGGATGTCGTCCACCCTCAACACATGACTCATTGCCTGCTAAGGACTCTAGGGGTTGGCTCTCTCCACATCGAGTCAATGACATACATCTGCATGACATACGGCTGCCTTCAGCCTCTTTTTATATCTATCTAAGCACTCATTGTTGTTGATGCCTTTTATATGGGTTTTGAGGTCCACGAACTTCTCCATATAGTCCTCGATGCTTGTCCACTGGCTCAGCCTCGTGAGTTTGTCCCTGGCCTTTAGTCGGTCGTTGGTTGCTCCAAATTGGCCCTCCGTGATGTTTATAAAGTCTTTCCAAGTCCGGATGGCCCCTTCTCCATGCGACTCCACCAAGGTCTATCACCAGAGGGCGGTTGACCCTCAGAGCAACCCAACGGCAAATTCCACATTGTACGCCTTGTCATATACATTCATTAGTCGCAGGTATTGCTTGACTTGGAAAGCCCATTGTGTGAACGTTCCTTGCCACGCTCCCTTGTACATTGGCGGCTTCGGTGGTTTGAGGATGGGTAGGTTGAGTCTTTCCCCACCATTGTGAGTCCCAGCTCCATTCAGCATTGCAGCCACAACCATGGCTTCCTCGAGTTGGCTTTGCATACACTGGTGGGCCTCATTCTATTGTGTTTCAAAGTGTCTTGCCAATTGACTCCACAAGCTTCCCAGCGCTTGCTCAATGGCCGCTTGCAGCTAGCCAGATGAAGCTCCCGCTTGGCTGGGTGACGGACTCCGTACACTTCTAGCTTGGCTCATGTTGTTTTGGCTCTCCTTTACCTCTCCTTTTGGCACAATTTCTGGTCGACGTCTTCTCAACGTCCTTGTTTTTTTGACGTCCCTGACATTCAATCCTTCTTCCAGCCCGCCTTTGAGGCTGGCCACACCGCTGACGTCTTCCTGACATCCAGCTCTTCAACGCCCTCAGTGCAGTTTCCCAGCCAGTACTCTCCAACACCCGGTAGCTTCCTATCCTCAATTTTGCCCTCGGGGTAGGCCACGCAGCTCACGTCCCCTGACGCCCTGCGATTCTTGCCTTCGGGGCCGGCCACGTCACTGACGCTCTCTCAACGTCCAGCAGTTTTCCACTCCTTGGAGCTTTAAACGCAACTGACATCTTCATGACGTCCCGCCGCTTGAGTCATAGGTTGCACCCTCCCGTCCCGTTCTTTGGGAGCGCCTCCCGGTCGTGATGGTCTCCTCGGTGTTTTCCGGCTTCGTCGCCGGCCAACGGCTGGCTTCCCCGAAACCAGTTGTAAAGGGCGAGATCCATTTTTGGCCAGATGGGAAATGGCCCGTTCTCTCCGTTCGAGTCGGGGACCGGTAGAATCGAAACTGGGCAACGACTTTGATTACAAACTGGTATTGTGTGTCCGTATTTATACTAGAGGTGGCCACCCGGATCCGTTAATAGCGGACGGAGGTTAATTTCCGTTAATTTTCCGTTAATTAACGGAAAATAACGAAAAAAGACAAAAATTAACCAAAAATTAACGGATTTTTGGATTTTTTGGGGATTTTTGGGTTTTAGTTATACTTATAGTTTATGGAATTCGCTATTAGAGAGTACGTTTGTATTTTATTTCAACCTATGCATACTAGATTATTAACTAGCCGCAGTTGTTGTGATTTTTTGGGTTTTTTTCGATTTTTTTGGATTTTTTTCCTTTTTTCTGAATTTATCTCCCTTTTTCTTTAACGGAATTTAACGGACAGCTGATAAAAGTTAACGAACCGGACTTAACGGACCGGATGGCATCTTTGAGTGGCCACCTCTAATTTATACCCGCTCCCAAGGGATCCCAAGGGTGATGCCAAAAATATGGAGAGTCATCCTATTTCTGGCATACCCGCCAGGTTTCAATTTGAACTTGCTTGTCCCTTGTTCTTCTGTTCACCAATCCGTTGGTTCCCGAGACCCATTCCCACCGTGTTGATCAACATGGTGCTTTCTCTCCAGTATTTCCCCCTTTGCCCACGGTATTGGAAAACACCTGAGCTGTCACTTCTAACATGCTCTGCTCCTTCTCAAACCCCGACCCTGGTTTCTCTAATATACAATGCTCCCATGAAGACCCTTGTTATACAATGCACTGTGCTTTTTCCCCCAAGCGAGTATTCCTATTGTGCAAAGTTCCTAACCAGTTCATAATATACAACGTAGTACGAGTCCCCTTTACAATTCACCAATACCACATTTCTGTCCCTTTGGTTGCCAGTCACTGTTTCGCCACCAATGCCAATGTGGTACACTCCAAAGTTAGAATCGCCCAGCGCCTTGACTTCTTTCAGCCAATTGAGGCCAAGTATGACTTCACACGCTTGGCTGGCTTCGACTATGTAAAACTTCAAGGCGCATGTCGTAGTGGCCAGCTTGAACTAGTGGATACCGGTGACGCCTTTCGGGACCACGACCGTCCCGTTGGCCAGCTCAATGTTCCTCGGCATTCCTGGGTACATTCTCACTTTCAGGCGCTTGGCGCACTCATGATCCAAGATACTGTACATGCTGCCCAGGTCGATGATGATGTTTGACAAAAAAGTTCCATCAAAAACGCCCTTCACTTCGTCCACTGGCCCCCCTTCGCTTGCACACCGCAGCGCGCATTTTTGATGTCCAAACAACTCTCTCACCGCTAGTAGTAACTGCTGGTAGACTTCTCGTAGGCTTCTGCCTTTCAAAAGGCACAACGGGAGGCTCCACTGATCGGCCACATGACGCCTCCAATCGTCGTCCAAAACTGGCTTCCTTTTGGGTCCTGGACGGTCCCTTTCCAGCCGGGTTTGCTTTCCGGGCGGCAATCTCCCCACATCGGGCGACCTCCAGTCCGCTCCATCGCTGGCTTGTGCGTCCCATTGCCTCCCGGTCCCGCGGTTCAGCGCCTCTCAAACCGCACCAACGAGTCCACCGTCGAAGGGGTCCTGTCGCATGCGCCAACTGTAACGGGCGCGACATTAAGCTATCGATTTGGAGCCGTGCGGAGTCGAGACATGCATTGCAAGTCCATCAAAACCCACCCCAAGCAACACGCTCGGAGCAGCCCCGTTCACACGACCAACCATTTTTATACAAGATTTGTTCGCCTTTTCCGATGCCCTCAAGATATATGGATCCTGTCAAGCACAAAAATCGAGTTTCCAGCCACATCAAAGATCAAGGCCAACGTACCATTCTCCTTAAATTCAATGATATCAACGTCACCAGCCTGAGACAAAAATAATGTCTCAATTGCATCAAATTAAATTAAATACGCACCCAACAGTACTGCACGTGGCGTCACCGGCACGTACGCAGCGGACTCAGCGCCGCGTCATTGCCATCGATGCCCAAATGCCCGCGCTCCACGCCCCTGACCGTCGCCCCAAACAGCCGCGCCTCAGCGGGCCCCGGCCCGCTCCACCGCCCCCCCTTGCCCGCGGAACAGCAACTCGTGCGGTGGCCCTCGTCCATTTCAGAGGCCCGCATCGTTCTGGCGCCGCTGCGCGCGGCGGCATTGATCTGATGTTGTCGGGGCTGAGGAGGCTGCGCGGCCTGGCACCGATCATGGGCGCCGCGTGGCGGTCGCCGGGATGGGGAGCGGGCACCAGGGAGGTGTCATCCCACTCGGAGAACACGAATACGTTCGTGAAGGAGGTGCGGGCGGGGTGATCGCGCGGAAGGGGGGAAAGGGCGCGCTTGTTTTTGTTGATGGCAAAATCATCGTCGCGCAGGGGATAGGGGTGGCTTTGAATGATAGGGAGGGTCGTGATCTGTCGGCCACCACCACGATGGTGCGGTGTGTTGTGTGTGTGTGGTGGTGGTGGTGGGGGGGGGGGGCCTGTGGCTCTGGATAGGTTGTTTTGTGGCGGCGCGAACTCCGTGCGAGGGGTGGCGTGCAGGCGGGAATTTGAGGGATGTGCCAGTCCACCGGGACGCCTCTTGCTGCGGGATCAGCGACCTGGGGCAGATGCGTGCGACTGCTTCGCAAAAACTCCCGAGAGTGGGACTGTGGGTCAGGCAGATGGCCCCCAGATCACTCCTCACCGTCAGGCACGCCATGCTTTCAATGCTGCCTCCTGCCTTGGGTTGCTCGTCGGGCGCTGCGATCTGTCGATCGCTTGGGCCGCCGATCTGGGGCTGATGGCTGCGTCGCTCTGCGCGGCTAGGCGCTGACGGTGCTGGAGTACCCGGACAAGCTGCAGAAGCTGCTGCTGAACCCGGAGAGGGAGCTGTGCGTGGAGCTGGTGGTGCAGATGGACAATGGCGAGGTGGAGGTGTTCAATGCGTACCGTGTGCAGCACAACAACGCGCGAGGGCCCTACAAAGGCGGCCTCAGGTGCCTGATTGTCTTTGTTCGCTGACGGTGTTGTCATGGTGCGTTTCTTTGTCTTTGGACCGGCAGTTGCACGCCATATGGGTGTAAGGTGCAACAGCACCGTTTGCAACGACAAGTTTAGAGAATGGAGTTTAGCAAACGATTTTGTGCGGCAATAACAAAAGAATGAAAGCAATCGGACACTTGTGAAGTATGCATGCTCTTACCTCCTCCAAGCCACTAGGGCACAGTTTGTCCGGCATAGGTGGATGTGCAGGGGGATGCGTTCAAAGGTGTCCTTTGTGCTCATGTGGAGCAACCCTTTCTGCATGCTTCTTACCATGCGCCCTACTCTGTATTTAACGTGATTTATGTTGCGCTGGAAGGCTTCTGCATCTTCTTCCATTGGTCTCTGAAGCCAGGCCTACAACAGGACATGATCGTTTTGGCATTAGTGGATGCCATTGTGTGATGCAACTTGTGTAATGATGCTCATATGCATGGAATCATTTCTGGGTTGGGCTTGTGCTCTCTTGGCTCTGCCTGGCTGTGTGAGCGTGCGTGTTACAGAATTGTTGCTTGGAGATGGGCGTCCATTGTGGGACACGATTCATCTTGGTCACACATGAAATCCACGAATGTATGTTTGTGCACTGACCACAGTGACCACTGAATTTTCCTTCCTTCGTTCAGGTATCATGAACAGGTGGATCTGGACGACGTTAGAAGGTGAGTACTGGTGAGCACCCAAAGACAGAATGAAAGTGAAAAACAGAAGTTTGAGCGAAAAGGGGGTGTATCTGGTGTCCCTGATCTTGAATCTGCACTGGTGTGCGTGGATGGCAGCGCTGGGCAAGTTTATTGTGCGTGCTCCTTGGAGGGGCTGCAAAAGAATGTTTTGCTGCAGCGTTGCAAGCTGATGCTAGGATTTCTTTCAGGTCAACTGTCACAGCCATGTTCCTCCCTACCTCCACCCCTGGGCTGTCGACTCCAAGAGTTCCCAATTCCCATTTCACAATCTCGTATTTTTGTCACTTTCTTTCACCTCAGGCTCTTTTCATGTTCTTACTGCTTTTTCATGCTGTTTCTTGCTTCTTCTTACTGCTTTTGTTGCTGCTTTTTGCGTTTTCATGCAGTTTGGCGAGTCTCATGACCTGGAAGACCGCAGTGATGGACATTCCGTTTGGGGGCGCCAAAGGCGGCGTCACTGTGGCGCCAAAATACTTTTCTGAAAGAGAGCTCGAAAAACTCACAAGAAAGTTGGTGCAGGTGGGCCAGACTGTGTGCTATCTGGCATGGACAGCAGGCCAAATACATAAATAGTACTAGAGTATGGGAGTCGCTCAAAAGCTTGCCAACAAGGGTCAGCTACTCGTCTGTGGACACCTCAATCAGGGTGTCCGCGGCTGTGATTCATGGTTTCTTGTTTATTCCTTTGATTGATTGACTTGTGGAATTTCAACAAACATATCAATGCATGGGAAGAATAGACAGAGTATGAAGCCCCTGTAAATGGACACAGTGCAATGCTCTTAAGGATTGAAGCCCAACAATTGACACATGATATGAATGTGTTCAGTCCAGCTGTTTGCAATCATGGACCTGTCCAACTCCTATTGTGCTGAGAGGGCAAGTGTGTACTGACCTGGGTTTTCAGCATATGCAATTCCAGATTCATGCTGCACAGCTGGTCGACTTGTGAACTTTGAATCCTCACAAATTCTCTGTTTAGGGCATCAAGGAGGTCATTGGACCCTATGAAGACATTCCAGCTCCCGACATGAACACGGACGCACATGTGATGGCATGGATATTTGATGAGTACTCCAAGTTCTGTGGGTTCTCCCCAGGAGTAGTGACTGGGAAGGTACTGTTGAAACACACTGTGTCCGGGCCCCCATCCTTGACGAATATCGAGGCACATTGTTGTGACAGACTTTTTGAGCCTTGAGAAAAGCTTTGGAACAATAAGACCATTTCATGGGCAATGCAGTGAGTTTGCATGCTGGACTTGGCATTAATGTGTCACTGTCAGCCACCTTGTTGCTTTGACATCACTCCTGACTGCCTGCACGGTCAAAGTGGAGCACAGACAGGGGCCATTAGCAAATGTTCATTTGGTCAACTTCGGCCCCATCCATGCTTGCAGCTGAGCCTGTCGCTTGATATGTACTTCCTCCGTCCCAGATTAATTGTCGTCTGTATGAAAGGCTAAATTTTTATAAGGACGGCCTCAGAATTTCAAAACAAGGTCGAAATCGAAAAGATTGCATATCAAAACCCCTGGATATCAATTTTGAAGAATAAAAAATGAGACATGACCATTTTGAGCGCAAGGCAAAGGTAAAATTTTTGGTCACTTTTGACCCCGAATATTGAGATTTACTATGTACAAAGACCCTTGATACAAAGTATTGCGAAATCCTCAATACTTAATGGATTGACTTGAAATTTTTATGGTGTACTCCCAACTCAAGAACACAACCGTTGGCGAAATTTTATTCAAAACAAGTGCGGGAATGATGGATAAATAATGCACCAAAATCATAGACGACAATTAATCTGGGACAGAGGAAGTATTTGAAGAGGCCATTTAGGCATGTCCAACGATCGGTTTAGATTTCTGCTGTTGCCATGCATGTTCTGCAGCCCGTGCACCTGCATGGTTCCCGAGGCAGAGAAGCTGCCACAGGGCGGGGAGTGGTGGATGCAACAAGGGAAATGTTGAACTACATGGACGATGGCAAGTTGTCAAACAAGAAGATTGTCATTCAGGTGTGGACATTTCATTAACAATGCAAGACATGTTTCCCGTTCCTGCTGATAGACGACCCGCGGGAGCGCTGTTGCATGCTCACTTGGTGGATATGTCGCATGATGTTATTACGAATTCTCGCATACTTTGGCAGGATAAGGATGCCAGCATTCAATGGAAAACCATACACAACATGTAAACTGGAAGTGGGGGAGGCACCTGGACACTGAAACGTGGAGTATTTTGGATTTGAAAAATAAAAGACGGAAATCCGAACCGCTGAGGCCAAGAATGCCAGGGGGAATACTCCGGTACCACTGTACTGTCGCACATTGGTTTGTTCCCGTGTGCTCAAAGGGGATACTGTTCCAGGGCTTCGGCAACGTAGGCGCCCACGCCGCTAGGATCTACACCGAGCTGGGCGCCAAGGTCACCGCCGTGTCGGACGTCAACGGCGCCGTGATTAACGCGGACGGCTTAGAAATCGCGGGCCTCAAGGCCCACATGGACGGCGGTGGACCCATCCAAGAGTTCAAGGGCGGCTCGCCGCTGCCCAAGGAACACATACTGGAGGTGGAGTGCGACATACTGGTGCCGGCGGCAATCGGGGGGGTAATCACGGAAGACAACGCGAAGCAGCTGGCCTGCCGTTACGTGGTGGAAGCTGCCAACGGGCCCACGACGCCCGAGGGTGACGCAATCCTGCGCGACAGGGGCGTCGTGGTGCTGCCGGACATCTACACCAACGGCGGCGGCGTGACGGTGAGGTGCAGAACCTGCAGAACTTCAAGTGGGAGGAGGAGGACGTCAACAACAAGCTGGCCAAGCGCATGCACGACGCGTTCGTGGGCATATGGGGAGTGCACAAGGAGAGGGGCCTGCCGCTGAGGACGTGCGCATTCGTGGTGGCACTGCAGCGGGTGGCGCGGGCGGCCATACACAGGGGGTTCGACTGAGCGGGCGCGCCCGGATGCCAGAAGTTGTGGACGCGGGGTGGGGGGGGGGGTGGGGGAGCATGGGCATGGGTGGGTGGGGCAAGTGCCAGTGGGTGGGTGGGCCCCAAGTTCCGGTGGATGGGCGGGCCCTAGGTTCCGGTGGTTGGGTGGGCCGGGGATACCTTCAGCGAGTCGGGCGATTGACACACGCGGGCGAGGGCGGAGCGGCAGGCTGTCTGTGTCCCCCGAGGCAAGGGGCAGGCGAGTCCTCCTGCGTTAGGGATGGGATTCCTAAGTGCGGAGGCCAGCCGACAATTTTTACGGTGCTGGCTGGGAGGTGGTGAGCTATTTTTGATTTAGGCGCTGCTCGCTTACCAGCGGTGCGTCCGATGGCACTGGGCCGGCTTGGGAACTGTTGAGTGGTGCAGAAGCAATTACCTGTGAGGTCGGGCAGCAGAGCTTGTCTGTTGGCATCGGCACGGGCTGCTGGGGTGGATCCAATTTCACCCTGCAACAACGGGGTTTTTGCACATCTGCCATTCTTTCAATTCATTTCGTGGGTTTGGGCACATGCATGTGCTGCACACTCCACTTTTGGTAATTTCTTTCCAGTCGTAAGGTGCGTGCACAGGCCGTCGGGAACAGCACATATAATTCAACATATGGAATGGGACCCTCCGCCATGATGCTGGCACGTTGTCATGTGCACTTTGATTGGTGTGTGCAGGTGGGACATGCCAAATTTGGGTGTCTCGGGAATTTTTTCGCCTCAAGGGGGAAGCTGCTGCTACGTTGTTTTAATCTCAGTTCTTGTTTCACACCAGAATTATCAAGAGGCACATTGTGGCACAGCGTGTCACTTCGCGCCTTGACGAGTTTGATGTTTTTCAAGTGGCAATTCACATGTTATTGGGGGGGGGCTTGGTGCATCACCACCGGGAGCTCGATGACGCCAGTTGACAAATGATAAACTGTGCATTGGGGCCCAGTTTAGCATGGGATTGGGTTTCTTGCACGTGAAACAACATTGTGTCGCTGCCACCACTGGCACCAGATCCCAGCATAGCAATGGCAGCCATTCATTGGTGTTTCAGTTGTGACTGTCAGTTAGCCTACATGTTTGACCCTGGCAAAGGACTCCTGCATGGGCAACCACTGCAATGTTGCGTGCATCTTGAAGGCATGCACCTTCTCAGCGCAGTTGCCAGCCCTTTAGCTCCCAAGAAGGCACCATAAATCTAGTCTTGATGAAGCATTCCATTCCTTTGACATGCGTTGCCAGCCTGCTTGTATTCGTTAACAGCTGACAAACATGTGAAATTCACATTGTGAATAATATATATGCACAAGCTCCTTGCAACGAGATGCTGAAAAAGTTCACACCAAAGCACAGCTGTTATTCTGAAACCCAAGCTTCAGTGCCACATGGTTTTCAAGGTTGTTGGTGCCACACCCGCGCACTTTGAGTGAGCGCAAGTGCACGTCCATCTGGCCGTCCAAATTTTAATTCATCCTTCCCACAGCGCTGGTCAAAAGATAATGAGACTCTGTAGAACACAGCCCGTGAACAAAACAACTCACTATCCGGTGAAAACCACGAAATTGGATAGCCTTGAATGTTCTTCCCCTCGATCCTGCATCCCAGGAGCAAGCAACTAAGCTCGAGAAAAACAGAAGCATGGATATGTCTAAGGTTTTCCGCAAAGTTCCTTAGCCAACCCGGTTCGAGATCCCGCTCGTCGCAATCGAATGCGTGCAGCGATGGGCCACAGCGCAGCACAGGTCAAACCGTTTTGGCTCGACCTTCGTGGCAACCTTGCTGCACGCGGTGCTTAAACGCACTCGCCGTGCATGGTCGGACAAGCAGCCAAGACTCAACTTGTTTTACAGCCAAACCAAGAGAAGCCACGAACAAGTCTCGGCTCTCTTTAAATGCTAGAGTGCGCTTTTCTTTGGCCCACCAGAAGTCACACTCAGAGCGCCAGACTGAACTCACACTTCACACACGCACAACACGCTACCCCACAGCACCTACCCAGAGCATCGACCTACGGCACCGACTCACAGCTCCAATCCATAGTACCAACTCACGATCACCAAAATTAGTAAGATTGAAGCTGATTGCTGGCCAGCCGTCCTCCTGCCATCTCAATCAGGTCAATGTGTGCACCAGTCAGCCAGCACATGACCAGGTGCTTGCACAACATGGGAGCTGCGGCTGTTTGGGTGTGTCAGACTTTCATCTCTTAAACTGGCTCTTTAATGTGTATTCACTTTTCTCATTGAGTTTCGCTGCACATCGGTGTTCAGCTACCGACCTCCGGTCATGAGAACTGAAAAATTGCATGCGAAACATTCAGAAAAGGTGACAGCCATTCAAAGATATTGTCGATGGCATTCCTCGAAACGGGATTCTCATATGCCACAATTTAATCATCGGATTGCAAATCAGTAATTGACGGAGGCAGGTCAGTGGTCAATTACTAGTAATTCGAACAGAAACTGAAATCCAGATGCCCACTGAAGTCCCCACCATTGCAAACGTCTTCAAGAGCAGAGGGGCCAACACTCAATCAGCTCTGGGCACAACTGTACTTCAGCACAAAAGCACCCTACACCATGATGCAGGCTCTTCCCAGGATGCAGCCATGCTGGCACCCTGCCCTTGAACTCTCCGACCCCCGGGCTTCCGACCATTCGCACCGGCGGGGTGGGTCTTCGCTCGGCGGGAGGGGAGGTGCCGGGCCCCACACATGCGTCGCTGCGGCCGGTCGGTTGGCCAGGGAGCCGTCTTCAGCGCGGGCAAGATGGTCAGGGGCCTGGTGCTCTCCGCCGGGGGCCACACAGGGGTGGGTCGAATTCCAATGGCCGCGATCGCCGCGCGGCCCCTTGGGCAACCCTGGACGGTGGCACTCGCGGCATTTTCGGTGGCAAAGCTGCGCCGGCGGCGCGCGGAGATGGCGGAGCCGAGGTGTCGGGTGCCGGCCTTGCTGGGCATCCATGGGTTTGAAAAGTTGGGTGCGAAAGCGAGCCTTGATTGGGTAAATGTGAAGAGGCCCTTCTCGCTGCAGAGCAAGCGCTCGCCCCCGAAACCTGCGGGATCCGCTAATTGGTGCCGCCTTCAGCCAGCCATGGGCACTCATTCCCGTTGACTGACGCCCCAGGTTTCGTCAGTGCGAAACATCCCGCCAAAATCGATGCCGACAGGCTTTTCTCCCCACGAGCCCCGGATCTGTTCATTTGCCATAAAATGGCTGCAGGAATTGGCTGATCTGCTGTCGCGCGTTCCCATCGCTGTCGAACCGCGCCATGGCGCTGGGACTGTCACCCAGCTGGGGCGTTGGGTCTGGGTGGGAAAGGATCAGGTTTAGCCGCTTGGACTGACGCGGAGAAATATGTTCAATTCGACTTCTTCCTCGTTTGTGGACCGCCTGGAGCCTACCAAAGATGTTTTTTTTATGAAGTTGAAGAATGGGCCATGCAATGGGCAACTCCATTGTCCAATTCTTGTGGTGCTGTTTTGCGGGGTGCACCGGCAGGGTGGCAAACACGCTAGCACGGCCAGGCGGACGCCCACGCGCGCGTCTTGCAATTACGGGATCCTCCTCAAGGGCATCAAAGAGGAGCAGGTGGCAGGCTTCAAGAACAAGAAGGGTCAGAGGATGAGGTTCAACGAATTTTTGGTGAGGCCCTGCTTCTGCCCATCGTTGCGAGATTTTCTTTTCAATTTCTCGCCATTTGACTTCATTTTCACTACGATTCAGTGCTGTGGCATTGTTGCTTTCGTGTGGACTGAATGGGGCCAATTGAATGTTGCAATCTAGGTGCAAGGGCAGTGCTCCATCACTATACTTTTGGGTGGTGTCTTATTGTGCATTACTCATTATTTCTTATCTACTACGTTGTATTGTTATTACATTCTATTTCTTACTTTACCATTTACAATGCCGACATTGTGGAGGATTCAAAGTTAGGCCATTGTCAGCAGCTTTAAGATGCAAGGGGAGTGCCTCTGCGTGCTTTGGGTTGCTCCATCAGTTGCACTGATGCCAAGGTCCGTTTTGCAGGGGGCAGGCACACCCAAAATTAGAGTCAACGTGTACCCTTCAGAGGGCATTGCAGCCAGGGATCTCAAACAGGCTTGACAGCATGTAGTGCTTGGCTTATATTTTGCCCTCCAACAGCCACCCAATTTGGCCAATATAGTACTTCTTCAGTACAGTCCAACAATACAAAGTTCTGTGTGCTATAATGCTGAACAGTGGTTACAAGACTGGCCGAGCACTTAGCAGTGCAAGCAGTTACTTCATCCTGTGCTGTTTGGGATGCTGCAGGCCTCCCAGGTGGAGGGGCTGGTGGCTAACTTCAAGGGCACCCCCCATGAGGCGGACCTGCAGGCCATGCTCAAGAACGCTCGGCATTATCCAGACCTGACCGTGTCGACAAGGACACAGACGTGTGACTGGGTGAGCAAGTTTGTGGAGCAGCACGGGTAGGGGTCGCACTCACCATGAGGAACTGTGTTGTGCTGCCTGGACCCATTGATGTGAAAGCCAGGGATGAGATGACTGCTGGTATTGGTTAATTCGTCATAATTTCAAGATTTGAGCAGCATGCACACAATTCTTTAATTCCACAAATCTCCCCCAACCCTCAATCCAAGCAAAGAGAACAAGAAATTCATGTAGGGATTGAAAATCCATTTAGAGAGCAACAGATCGAGAGCTCCACAATTGAAGGTTGATAGGCTGCTATGTATGCTATAAGGCAACCGATTTGGAACCTTCACTTTTGTAGTTGTTGGATGCATGGTGTGAGGACAAGCTGGTTTATGCTGAACATTTTGTTGCATGCTTAACATATACATGTTGGGTTGAAGTGGTGAAGTGTTCCAAACCTCACTGTGCAAGTATGCATTCTTTTGCTTTGTTTCACGTGTTTCCAGCAAATGTGGAGCAGCCAGAATAGCCTGGTACACAGCCTGCCAAGACAAATGCATATTTTCACGATTTGGCTCTCAACACACTTGGGGCCATCATCATTTGTGCTCTTGCAGTAATTATTGTTGTGGCAGTGATTCCTACACTAGAGTCACTGCCACAACAATAATTCTATTTGTTGCTTGAGCTTTATCAAGGCAGACAACCCATTGCCAATAAGAGTTTCTGTCAGCCTTCACTGCATTTCTGATATGGCTGCTGTCAGCGATGTGCTTGGACTGGACACCAACCCAGCAGAAGTCAGTGGAAGAACTCCCTGGCAGGCATCCACGCCCCGTGGATATGGCGAGAGCCATGCAGGCAGCAGCCAAGGCACAGCCACTGGCCCTGTTTGGCTCAGGAGAGGTGCTGCTGGGACCTCCAGCAGTTCCAGATCGGACACCACAACATCGGTTTCCGGCTGGTCAGATAAGTGGAGAAGGACCCAGACCAGAGACAAGGATAGCCGAGCTCGGAATTCGGTTCCAAAGGGCCCCACACAATTCCCCGCAAGGCCTAACTATGCAACCACCTGGAGGAGTGTGGAGAAGGACAAGGGGCGTACTCCAACTGCAGTGGCGACTGTGCTGCCACCTGATAGCTCTGTGCGCCATCAGCAGGAGCAGGTTGCCAGTGGGGCAGATCCACGATTTGAAACAAAGGCGGAGCAGGTCAAGCAGACAAGCCGGGGGATGGTCGGATCTGCCACGATTGGAAGGAACAGTGGGCGTAAACTCCCAGCAGGTTTGCCTGCACAAGGCAGTGCAACCACAGCACAGGTTGATAACATGTCGGTGAGGCAAACAAGTCCCCGTGGTGGCAGTGGAGAGGCAGCTGTTCTGGAGAATGTGTCTGTGCAGCAGCTGCATCCGCTCCTGGAGAAAGTGGGGCCTGTGGGTCCCCTTGTTGTGTTCGACCTCGAGACCACAGGGCTGGGTATCAACGACCATGGCATAGTTGAGGTGGCTGCGTGGAACCTCAACACAGGAGAGTTGATTCAGAGCCTGATAAACCCAGGCGATGTTGTGTGGAACAAGCATGCTGTGCGGGTCAATGGGATCTCGCAGGGCATGGTTTCGGGCTCTGGCATCCCTACTTGGGCCTCCTTTGGCAAATGGTTCATTTCATGGTTGGACAAGCAGAGATGGTCGTTGGATGGAAATCCTGTGCTTGTGGCACACAATGGACTGAAGTGAGTTGTGCATCTGTGGATTGCAGCCTGCTGTGTGTGTGAATTTTGTTAAGTATCATCTGTCAAAGGCGTCGCATGTTGTTCATGTATCTGACTTTGGTCGCTTAGCATCAGTTCTTTCAATCTATCTGTGTGTTGCCCTGAAGGTTTGATGACTGCAATTGTTGGATGGCTGCAGCTGGATGTATGTGTGAAAGTTTCGGAGCTCTTATGTGCATTGCTTGTTAGAATGCTTGCTCTAGGAAGCTGACCGCAGCTTGAGCTCACGAGCAGCAGTATTGGCACCTTGCCAGCGGGTAGCCTTGCTACAGCTTGTGGTCCTTGTCACTTGCATACTCCAATTTGTCTCGCCTCAGGCATGAAGCATCGAGAGATCAACTTCTCTGTGTTGATACAGGTTTGATTATAGGTTTCTACAACAGAAGCTGGCAGATGTCGGTGAGAAACTTGCACCAGGATGGAGGTATTTGGACATTCTCCCATGGGTGAAGAGTTTGGCGGCACTTCAGAAGGAATTGCTTGATAACAAGCAGGAAACCCTGCGGGAGCATTTTGGCATAAAAGTAGCCGGGCGGGCCCACAGGGCTGCTGCTGATGTAGAGGTTCTGGGTAGAGTCGTTCTGAAGATGCTCGATCCAAAGATCTGTGGCAAGCCAAGCCTGGAGGCAGTTGTGCTATCTCAGGAGTCGTATGCGGGTGTGCTTGGGTCGTTTCAACCACAGCCCAAGTCGAGCACAAGGACGGGTGATCGCAAGGGCTTCAGGACAAAGCAGCGGGGATGGGAGCAGAGAGCGGAATGGCAGTTGGGCACGATTGCTGAGCCCGCTGATGCTGATGGGGTGCCCTGGGTGTCAGATCCTCTGGTGTTGGTGGAGGGCGCCATGGAGACTGGAGAAATGCCTTTGAATGCAGAGGACAAGGACATGGAAGCGGATGGTGCCACAGGTGGGGCTACAGCAGTGGCCCAAACTCGTGTGTTCAATGCATCCATCCAATGCATTTCATGTTGTTGTGCATGCTGTTGCGTGTTGTGTGGTTTAACTTCATGCAGAGATTTGTTTTGCATCTGTTGCAAAAAGGGAGGCCACTGCAGGCACAGGCTCAGCTTGGGAAGGGCTTGCGCATTATAGTGCACATAGTCCGTTTTGTTGCAAAGAATCTTCCATCGTAACCATCCAAGATATCTAGAACTCACGGAAGCTGATGGTGTATGTTTTGTATGGAGTTAAGTGTGGCCTGTTTTCAAGTGCCATATGCCCAGTTCTGCCAATAGTTAAGCAAGTTATGCCTAGGAATGAGACCAGCAGTTTGGTTAATAGTTTAGTCATCTTCCACCCGGGGTGGCTGCCATTCGTTTGGGCCTTCGCAACCTGGAAACCTGAAACAGCTTTGGGGTGTTATGTGGAGTTGTTAAGTGCAGGCACAAAGACTGACCTTGTTCGCTGCAGCTGCAGCTGCCGTGGCAGCAGCTTGAGTCGAATGCAAAGTAAGACAAGCCAAAAATGATCCTGTTGTTGCCTTAGGGTGCGTAAGCCCCACGTGTCCTGTGACCACCAGTGAAACCAAGGGTTTTGGTGGCAAAAGAAGTATGCTTTGATGCACTTGCTACTGCATGTTGAGTATTTCTGACTCTGTTTGCCTGACACACAGATGCGCTCTGTTCGTTTCTATCCACGCCGATCTCCAAGGCCACATTCTGGACTCCGAGCCAGAGAGAAGGGCTGCAAAACGCTGGTTTCGAGTCAGTCCTCCAGGTGCTTGCTTTTGACCATGATTCATCAATGAGTTTAGACATTATGCCGATCAAGACATGCAGTTTTGTGTTCCCTGTCAGTAGCACATGCCTATTGTTTGCCTTTGTGAAACAATACAAGCAGTTTGCAAACTGTTGCTCCCGTCAGCATGGATCAGCAGAGTTGGCTGTCCTTGTTGTGAGCACGGGACTGGCACTGCAAAGAGCCACACATGCTAGTTGCAACACATGTTCCTTTGCAGTCTCCTGAAATGGTCATGTCACTGTCCGACACTTGGACGACTTGTATATCGGTGGTGCCAAAATGGTCATGGACAATTGATTGCAAGGAGTATGCTAAGTTTGCCTCAGCACAAGCCGCGCTAAGCAATGTTCGATCGCCCACCTGGTGAACACCCGTTGCATTGTGCCACTCTCGCGATTCTGACGAGGGCTATTGGCAACGACTGCATGTTGGCAATATCTGCCTGTTGTAGTTGCTGCTTGTGAGCTGTTCTACACTGTGGGGCTATGACTGGCGCTCACAAGTTCGTCTGGGGCTGCATGAAAGTCATAGCAGAAACAAGGATTTGAAACTCTGCCAAGAGTTGAAAACACGTGTGACAGGAAGTCTTTCCTTGGGGTGCCTACCGCTGTGTTTTTCCGAGCGGTAGCCTGGCAGATTGTACAATCCACAAAATATCAGGCGCGGCACAGGCCTCTGATATCTTGCACCTGAGCCAAAACGAGGTTCTGCTGAATCAAATTCTGACACCCTGTTTCGGAACAATCTGCTAGCGAACGTTTCTGTTGGAGAATGAAGCTTCAGATTGTGCATCACTAGCAGTGTGTTGTGACAGCCTGCCCAAAAGCAACAACAGCAGCTGGCAATGCCATGTTTTCAGCGATGTTCACAGTTTGCGATGTGCTGAAGGGAGCTATGACCAACAGGTGGCAATGCATTTTCCACGCGACTTCACAGTCTTTGAGAAGAATTCGGAAATCCATCCAGGCTCTGTTTTGTCCCTCATGGGGACTGTCCTGTCGATATCAGCAGTCTACACAAAAAACAACGTGTGCATTTTCAATTTGTCAATTGCTCAAGAGGGCAAGGAGGAAGAAATCAAGTTTAGCCAAGTGTTTTGGGGCATGAAGGGGAAGTGGGCTGGTCAATCGCTGATCAAAAGTTTCCCAAGTGGCACAAAGCTCTGGCTCAGAGGCCATGTGGCTGGCAAAAGAGGAGGTGAGTTCTATGATGCATATCTGAACCTCTGCCCTACACTTTGTTCTGCCGCAGTTCAAAGTCTAGCCTGTTCAGCAACGCCAAAGCTTGGCTGGTCTTGCAATTGGCCAGTGAATGAGGCCAATGTGCTTCCTCCTTCGCCGACAGCGGCACTTTTGTGTGGAGATCAGTTTTTGTACGTTTATGAACATGAGATAAATCTGTTTGGAGGGTCTGGATCGCCATTGGGCTATGTTGTCCAGGGAGTACAGACCTGCATCTTTAAACTGACAGTCAAGAGACCAGGCCCATCAGTTCCTACCTAAGGTGTCAGTACAGTCTGGTCAGATGAAACTAACAGGTGCTGGCATCTCTATCGCTGTCGCTTCCTTTTATTGTTTCACATTTGCTGTTGTTTATAGCAACAGCCTTGTGCTGCTTTCTCATGAACCCTAAGGCCGAAAACACGCAGATGGCACGATTTGTGGAACAGCAAGAGGTCATCAGCATGGCCGAAGATGTCAATGAACAGTGTGTTGTATTATTTGGCACATAAGGGATGCTGCTCCCAGCATCGCTATTGCTGCTGAAGTTTGTGTTTTTCTTTGATCCTGAAGTGATCAGCTGTGTGGGCAGTGGTTGAGAGGTGTTCTTGTGTTTGCAGGAAGGTATGAGATAACAGATACCAAGTATGTGAATGCTGACCACATGGAAGAATTGGGGACTGTAATAGACCCAATATACGCCAGCAAGGGTGGCATCAAAAACGATGTGTTTACAGGCACCCCAAAAAGGCCAGGGGTAATTGCTCGCATGTACAAGGTGTGTGGAAGGCCATCGCCTGAGCTGCATATCTCTGTGAAGGTTACAGTGGCCCAATGTACTCATACGAGGCTGCTGCCTCAACATCTGCTTTGATTAACTGATTATAATTGAATGGAACAGTCGATTAACTGATTTAGTTAGTCTGACAAGCCAGAGCAGGCTCTTTTGCAGAGGCTGCAGAGCCTCCAGTGCTTGTCAAAGGAATAGAAAGCAAGTATTAATATGCAGCCCAATGGTGATGTTTGTGTTTGCCTTTGTATGCGTGTAGTAGAAGTGGCACATTGTCCCCAGCCTTCATGCACATTGAAGCCACCAGTTGTTGGTATATTCCTGTCCCAGCAGTTTTGAATGTGATGTGGAAATGTGGAATGGAGGAAGAAGCAGTGGGTTATCAATTGTGCTGACATGCTGGTACTGCAATCACTGATTCCAAATTCCTTTGTTCAAAATTGCCTTTGAAGCACAAAGTAGGGGCCCTTCTGCTGGCGGACGATGATGGGCGGACCATATCAAAAACAGTTTCTGTACAGCTGATGCTGGTGACGCATGTTTCAATGACAGGCTTTGGCAGAAGAGGGTTTGGAAGGGGCAGATTTTTTGCCACAATGGCTTCTGGAATCGCAGGGACTGAAGCCATGGATGGAAGCACTGAAAATGATGCACACGCCTGCCAAGTTGGAAGAAGCATCTGCTGCAAGACGGAGATTTGCAGCTCAGGTGTGGTTCCATTGACTTGCTTGTCATCACATGACTGCACACTGCCTAGTCACATCGCACTCAGAATTGTTGGTTGCTACCTTTAACCAGAATACAAGACAAAGTAGCACTCTTGCACCTGCAAGGCAGACATCAGGTGCTGTCCACAACGATGAAAAATGCTCCTCCTGTGGGCTGTTGATTTCACCACCACATATGTTTGCTTCTTCAGGGCAGCCTGTCGCAGCAGCTTGCACTGTGCTGTTGTGCTTCCTTTTGCTCCATTCGCTTCAAAGATTGTATTCATGGACACACAAGGCAGTGGCAAGGGGATCAATTCCCTTTGCATGGCTGTGAATCCTGGAGGGGATGCTGTGTTGCCCAGGACATGCTGCTGTTGCAGCTTGCACTCCTTGCACGCCGGCATACACTGACTGAGCCCAGGACGGATGCCGACAAAGAGGGCACGTGCATCACCAGCCTGGAAATGATGAACGCTGGAAAAGCTGCCCTGCCGTTTGAGCTGACATGCGATCAGGCACAAGTGCTGGAAGAGATCGTGGCTGATATGGCTGGTCCAAGGCCCATGCTGCGGCTCCTTCAGGGGGATGTTGGGACAGGGAAAACAGCGGTGACATTCCTGGCGATGCTGTTGTCTGCAGGCTCAGGTGCTTTCATGCGATGGGTAAACTGTCGATCCCTGTTGTGCATGAAGGAAATCGCATCAGACAGCATGTGACTGGCTCTGAGGTAAAACTGTTGCAGCATGAGAATTGAAAGGAGCGCCGCATGCAGCCTCCAGTATTCAGAATGAAAATTATGCGATGTCTGCATCAAAGGATGCGCTTGATCCATCACAGCGCAGCTTGCTGTGAGCTGCATGGGGCCATATTGAGCATTGCCATTGCATCCATGTTGAAGGTTTATGAATGTGAGAAGTATAAAAGTCGATCTGCGGGACACTTGTGCCAATGATCGCGCATACCCTATTTGTTGTGGGAGCAGGCTGGCAAGCTGCGTTGATGGCTCCCATCGAGACCCTAGCGCAACAGCACTTCAAAAACTTGTGTGACCTCATCTCCAACATGCCAGCGCCCCTGAGGCCCAAGGCTGCGCTGTTGACGGGATCAACAAAGACAGCAGCAAAGCGTGACCTCCTGAGAAGACTGGCAACGGGCGACCTGCAGATACTGGTTGGGACACACGCACTGCTGAGCGAAGGCGTGGACTTCCAAAAGCTGGGTCTGGCTGTGATAGATGAGCAGCAAAAGTAGGCTGCTTAAGATTCCGGGGCCCATGAGAAGGAAAGCTAACTTGTTTGTTGTTTCTTTACCTAGTCCTGAATGTGTCTTTCATTTGCTTAAATCTCAACAGGGAGGTGGAATTGGGCAAGGGTTGTTGAGCACAGAGTGAGTGTGGCATATTGCGGTGCAGTGTGATCTCAATCCACCATTGAATCGATTACACCTCCAAACTAGTGTGTAGATTGCCCTTTGCTCTATATATGGCCCGTCTTGGAAAGCTCCTGATCTGAATATCGATGCCATGCCTGCCCTCTGCGGATAGCCTTTTATGTGCACGCTTCTCAGCCACAACCCTTTCCAAACACAGTGGTTAGCAACAACACGGCTGCCAACCTGAGACCATTCTTCCTGTCAGATTTCATGCTTCTGACAGGGTTCTGAATGGCCATGTTCTTGGGCATCACAGGTGGGTAATTTTGCAGAGCATTGTACGATGCCCAGCATTTGTAAGGCAACCACAATTTAAGAGGAATTTCGTGTCCCCAACAGGTTTGGAGTTCGGCAACGAGAGCGGCTACAGCGAGGAGACATCTCCTCTCCCCACATCCTCATGACGACTGCAACCCCAATCCCCAGGACGCTGGCCCTGGCACTGCATGGCACGATGGTGATCAGCTGCATTAAGTCCATGCCCCCTGGCCGGTTGCCTGTGCAGACGACAGTCGTCAACGATGAGGATCCTCAGGCAGTGGCCCAGTGGCAAGCAGAGACGAACAAGGAACTCGATGCAGGTGGCCGTGCGTTCATTGTGTACCCCCTCATAGAGGAGAGCACATCAGAAGGGATGGAGTCGGTGAAGGCGGCTGAGGAGGAGTACGAGAGGATGAAGGTCAGCGGTTGCCCTGGTGGCCGAGTGCCTGGCTGACGTGAGGCATTTGAACTCTCAAAACTTTTTGTATAGCCTCTATCAACATGCAAGTTTTTACAGCTTAAAACTTGCTGAACATTAGCAATGGTGAAGAATGACAGGATAGCAGCTCTCCCAACTGTTGAAGAACAATCAAGAGGAGCTCTTCCTAACTTTAGTGGCTGCTTCACAGGAATCTCGCATCTTTGGCAACCGGCAGATCGTCCTTATGCATGGGAGGATGTCCAGTGAGGAGAAATCTGAGCGCATGAGGGCCTTTGTTGATGGCATTGCGCCTGTGATGGTTTCCACAACAGTCATCGAGGTTGGAATGGACGTTCGGGAGGCCTCCATCATGGTTGTCAATAACGCTGACCGCTTTGGTCTCGCTCAACTGCACCAGCTTAGGGGCCGCGTCGGCAGGTGAATTCAATGGATCATGCCCTGTTGACGTCACATGACAAAGCCAAGTCCTGGCAGGCTATGACAGATGGACAACATCAAAAGATTGTTGTTCCTTTGCTTGAACCCTGTTCTGCCCACTGCTCTCTGCACCACAATAGGGAAACAGGGGCAGAAAACTCGCTTGGGGTTGATGGTATATTGTACATCCAGAATATTGGTTTGTTCACCGCTTGCCTCCAAACTGAGTATGGTACTGTGTTGTTGAAGGACTAACTGCATCTGTCTGCAGGGGGTCACGGCAGTCCAAGTGCTTCCTGGTGTCCAATGGCGGGGAGAAGGCCTTGGGCCGCCTCAAAGTACTGGAAATTTCGAACGATGGCCACAAAATTGCTGAGGCTGACTTAAGGATAAGGTGTGACTGGCACACGAACTAAAAGAAAATGTGTCACATGATGGGCACACTTGTCCTGAGAAGGAATCTAGCTAAATGCCTAACCATTGTCTATGGCATTTTGGTTGCAACCGCCAGAATCCTGCCCAGATCCAGCTGTTAGCATCAATGGGTTTGTCGCAATTTTCACCACAGAACGCTGCAAGCATTTGAAAATATTCCTGGAACTTCTGTCCGTTGCTGAAATTGTTTGATACACTGCTGTAGTCACTTCATTTGGAATTGGTACAGGTGCCATAAATGGATCGTTAGTTGAGTGTTCGTTTCTCGCTCACCATCAGCCCCAATCCTAGGCCACAGTGTCAGATGATCTTGGTCTTCTAAGTCTGCTGCCTGATCTGTAGACTATTCACAAGTGTGTCCTTTTGCACAGAACTGCAGTTCAGATCAGGCAGTCTGGTGCGAAGTACCCTGCAGCTTCAGCTTCACTCCGAACATATAGGTTTTAATTGGTATATGCACTGAAGCAGACAACAGCTGCTTGCACAACGTTTATTTCCCCCTTGGATCCAACACCCCGTGTCCACCCTTCCACCTTCTGTTTCCTTGGTGTTCATTTCGCCGTCTGATGTGGGCCCCTTGCAAACTGCTAAAAGCACTCTGATGCATGACACTCAGTTGATAGAGTTGCCGTTGGCAGTTTTCGGTTGTTCACACTGTTGAAATCTCCCCATTCGCTCATAATTTTCCTTTGGAGTGACGCAGACGGTACTGTCTCCGTGCAGCATGTGTTTGCTGTGCCGAACATGGCCCAGGTCGGAACTTGTCGTTAGCACGCTCGTATCTGTGACAAACTGCATGCCGACTTGTGCCTGACATTGCCTTCTGTGCTCAAGGCCTGTGTCTTTACACGCTTCAAGGAATGTTGTCAAAGATTCGCACACCCTAAGCGAAGGGGCAGCCCTTTACCGCTGTTTCGGCAAGGGTGCTGCTGCTTGGCAAGTTGAACATATTGGTTTTGGACATGCAAAATTTTTGATGCAAGGAGGAAGCTTGTCTGCTCAATATCATCAGAGTGCTGCTCCTACAGAAGATTGCTCTGTTAGACAAGAGCCAACTCGGTCTGCCTTTGGTTGCAGGGGCGCCGGTGAGCTGCTGGGATCGAAGCAGAGTGGCTTCATGGGAATGTACACCCTCACAGCTGCCGACTTGATCACCGAAGGCCCGCTGATGGACGAAGCCCGCACCGCTGCGGCCCAAATACTGGCTGCAAGCGGCGGTCAGATCCCGCAGGGCCTGCAGAAAATCATGGAGGTGCAGGGCCTGCTTCTGAGCGAGGACAGTGAGCTATGCTGAGCCGGGAATGCAGGCACACAGTGGTGGAATTCTTTGCGCTTTTGTGCATTGTTTATTGTAATATGATTGACGCCAGGCACGTGCACACACATTGCATCAGGTGTGGTTGTCATCTGTGTTGCCACACAGAACGCACTTTCTTTGCTCCGCGGCTCAACGCATCCCGTGGCTGTTGTTCCGCCCCCAATGCAATGGCAGTTTGGCGGAGCGCGCCTGCCAGACATGGTGTTGGAGCGATGACCGGCGACAGTCCCCACCTCGGACATCATGAGGGTATCATCAGAGCTGAGAGGGCATCATTGGAGTCGAGAGGGCGGTATCAGCTCAGCTTTGTCAAAACGCCGATTGGGCATTTGCGCGCCGCAAAGCCAACGTGAACGTTTGCCGCCGACGTCAATTCTGCGTCGCGTTGGCGCCCACCGTTGAAGGCAACCTGAGCACTTCGAAGCTCCGCGGCTGTTCCCACGTCTGCCGAAATGGTTGGGGTTTGCCGCCGGCTCCCCTGGCCAGCAAGGCGCGCAGCGATTGACAGATCTGGCAACAAGCCGGAAATTTGGAGCACTTGTGAACCCCGCGGCCCGAGGCCGTCATCGGCGTGCAGGCACAGCCCCCCCCCCCCCTCTCGGCCCGTCGGTCGCGGGCAACTGTTGCGAATGACTAAGGGCGCAGCGATGCCCAAAGCTTGCTAAGTCATTGGCCCCGTTGGCCTTCTCGCCGCCGGCGTTGTAGCACTTCCCCCGCCGGTGTGACCTCCCTCGGGAGACGCCGTCTGTCACGCGGCGAGGCCCGCACCCCCGCCGATTGACTTGCCAACAGGGCTGTACCTGCGCACCTCGCGCCACCGCCTCCCTCGGCGCGCCTCCCAACAGGCCGGCCACTCACTCCCCTCTGGCCCTCCGCCCTCCCCCTCTCCATAGGCATGCCAGCCCCCGAGTCCGAAGATGCTGCCCTTCAGCCTGCTGTGGTTCCCTGACCCCACCTGCGAGGCGCGCTTCTCGCGCTTCTACGCCAATGCGCACTTCAGGCGGCTGGACCTGCTGGGCATGCGCATGCGCCTGATTGCCGTCTCCGTCAACCTCATCACCCAGCTGCGGCGCCGCGGCCTGGACTTGACCTCCGCCACGGCGGCCCTCATGGTGGCCTTCAACGCGTCCCTGGACGTCCTGTGGCACGCGTGGGCCGTGGGCGCCAACCCCGACCGGCGCAACAGGTTCATGCTGGCGCGCCGCGTGGTGGGCTCCGTGGTCGCCCACATCTTCCTGGGAGGGTATTTTTCTGGGCCGGCGAGGACGCCTGGCGCGTTCGCCAGGCTGATGTTCATGATGTCGGGGGTCTTCGAGCTGATCGTGACCACCATCGGCGTGCCGCTGCTGGTCAAGTACCACCTGCTGGTGCACGTGCCCATGGTCGCGTGGCTGGGATCAACGGTGCCCGCGCGGGTGTGCGCCGTGGCCCTGGAAACTCCCGAGGGCGTCGGGTACACCGGCAAAATCTGGGGGGCTCTCGATGCCCTGCTGGCGGGGGGTGGGACGGACGGCAGGCCGCCGCCCGGGGAGTGCTGCCGTCACATTGTGTCGATGATTTTCGTGATGGGGGTGCTGGCGCCGTCCTACGTGCTGTGGGCGTTCGAGTACAGCAGCCGGGCGAAGTGGTGCCGGCTGTGCGGGTCGGGCTGCCCGGAGTGCCCCCCGCTGACGAGGAGGCTGATTGGGGGGCACTTGGTCGCGGGGGTGCTCGTGGCGGCGTGCTGCTGGCTGCTGCTGCACCCTAATTTGGAGCTGAACTTGGGGGTTTAGGTAGTGAGACTGGGAAAACGGAGTGGAGCGGATCGGCGCTTGAAATCAGGGCGCCAGGGCGCCCTCGAGTTTTTAGGCAGCCCTAGTTTGCGTTTTGGGGGCTCAGGGGTTGGCCGGCTGCCTTGCACTGAAGCCTCCACCTTGGCCCACTGTACGCTGTGGCGTGGCGCACAGGAGAGCCGGGGATCAGCCACGGCACGTTTTGGCGCGACAGTGACAGATGTGCCACTCGAGGGTGCCGATTCCGACAACATAATTGCGCTGTAGCCAGATGCATTGCTGCCACATCGCAGTTCAGGTAGTAGTTTGTATTGTTTCCAGCATGATGGCAATCGGTTGGTTGGGTGTGTCGGGGTGAAGTGGCTTGCAAAGGGCTGTTCTGTGAGGCGTGCAAGAGGGCGAGACAAGACGGCAAGAATTCCTTTTGTACCAACATTCATGTCTGGCGGTTTTGTTCTGGTTTTGGTCGCTTTTCATACAGGTACTTTTCCTGTGTCGCCATTGCTGAATGTCCTAAGCGCGACCTCCGTGTCCAAGTACAACGTCCTATTGCAAGAAGCGCCTGTTGGGTAACAATGATGTGTGTCAGGCATCCACCACAGTTAGTGTGATCTTATACTCGTCAGCTGTGGGGAAGTCCCTGCAGATGGTTTTGCTGCAAACAAAGGAACATGTGACGAAATGGTCATCTCCATGGCAATCTGTGTGAAATTCTTGTCCAGAACACAGAGTGGAAAATTGCATTCGAAAACTACAATGTCTTGGAATGAAATCTGAATCGCTACCCCCCACCTTATGCAGTCGCACATGCCCATACCCACCTATGGCTTCATCCTGAGCCACGACAGCGCCCTCGGTAGTATCCAGCGAGTACACTCTTGCACTGTGCCTTGCACAGGGAGGCACACATTGCTCATCGAGCAGCACATACCGGATAGCTGTGAATGTTGAGCTTGGGAACAAAGAAATGAAGACGTTCAATGCATCAAACTAGTTTGATGCATTGAATACATACAATTATACATTGATTAAATTTGATGGATATTATCAGGTTGACCGAACACTCTCGCACACATCCACATCCGGTCGCTCCCAGGCATGGGAAGCAAGGCTGTAACCAGATGCGTTACAAGATAGGCACATCAATCAAATGGCGTTTGCAGGAAATGTCCCCAATTCGTAATCACCTTTCCCATGTTCACCATGCTTTTATCACCGAGTTCACCATGTATAATCACACCATATTTAACACCATTCCCCTTGTAATTGTCCACCAGATATTCCTCACCCTCACAGATACTATGATGGATATGTGACGGATATTTCACGGATGCATTGATTATGTTTGATACATTGATTACAAGCGCAAGCACTTGCGTTTCTTTTGCATCTCGAACAGCTTGTCCTCTGCGAGGTGTATTCCTCGCTCATGCATGCAAACGCCTATATATTCAAACAACGAACAGGTCGATATCAACCTCAACAGTGCATTGCGCATCTAGCACACGCATTTGACGGCACAGCGAGAACTAGGATACCAAATGGCGGGGTCTGTGCCTTAGTGGATACCTGCCTTTTCCTTTCGGTGCAATCATGTACTGGCTGCTGAATAACTGAACCACTACCTGCTAGGGACATTCGCGAGTGCCAATAGCTTTGCAGGAATCAGAGCCATCCGTCTTCCATAGCCACACACTTCCCTCTCTGCGCTTTAGGCCTTCCTAAATTTACTTTTCATTATTGTTTCCAGCACTCTGGGTTGTTATTTGACAGGAGGAAATTGCTTGCACTGCGGACAACGAATATCTGTAGGGGGAGCGGAGGCCCAATATTTTAGGGAAGACGTTGTTTATTTTTTGTATGCTTACCGTCAAATTGACGTTGGCGGCGGTGGTGGTGGGTTGGGGGCAGCTATTGTCACTATGGGATTACGCAATTGCGTTAAGATCAAAATAAGGTGAGAAGATGCACATAAACGCCACTGACCAGCGGCAAGTTGCTCATGGCTAGTTACAAAATCTCCGTCCAACTTTCAATCTTTGAGGAAATCCACAGAATGAGTCGATCTTCAAGCTGCTGGCTGCTCCTATCGCCCAGCATGGCTCTTGGCATCCCCTTTCCAAAATCACTGCAATCACTACACTTTTGAATATTTTTCCCTTAGAAAATTACTTTGAATTTGTATGGCACTGTCAGGTATTGTTGTTGACCCATCCTGTCATCGATATAAGAATTGACACCAGGAGGGGTGGGGTGGGTGGTGAGTGGGGTCTGAGCTTAACGTCACATTGATGTTCAGCGTACAAAATTTAAAGTAGTGGCTTCTCTTAATGGTGGAAGGACAGCGTTTCATCATGTGACAGCATGTACGGTCTCGCTGGGGTCAACTGGTATCGTAGCCAACATTTCCTGATAGTGCTCTGACAATCAAGGCCCACCTCGTATTGGGTCGGTCGATTGCAGTGACACCGTTTGAAGCCTTGAAGCCAGCTCTTCACTGCCAGAAGTTCTGGCCCGGAATGGATTCAAGAGTCCTCATTAGAAGGGTGTCGCCGCAAGTACATGCCTGCAGGCTAACCACTGACTGGCAAAATTCTTTTTATTCAGCAGACACACGGAGACCGGAAGTTGAACAATGTGACAAGTTCCCAGTATCAAACACGTCTCATTCAAGATGCTCCTCAGTTTCAGAAAAATTGGGTTCCAAATCTCAGGCTCATCATTGGGGATTCCAACTCCCATCAACGCCTCTCCCGAAACTTCTCACAGTCGAGGAATGTTCGTTGGCGGCGGCCAGGCAAACGCTCGTGTTGTCGTCCGCCTCACGACTAGATACCTACTTCAGAAGGCCAGCTGCAAGACTGCCCGGCCGCAGATTTCTACTCGCCCCGCGCTGCTGATTTATCTGAAAGACATTGTCCTCGTTCATGGCAGCGGCACAATTAGCCAACCCCAGAACGCTACTCAACCAGAACTGCCAATGCTCTGTGAAACTCAGTTCATGGCGGCCGCAAGACCGGCCAACCGCAGAACGCTACCCAATCCGCACTGCTAATGCTGCGTGAAAACCGTCCCCGTTCCTATCACAGGGCCACTGCAGCTATGTTGTGCAGACGGTGGTCCCGTCTCGATTTCATTTCCAGACAACGGCCGGCAACCCGACCCTCGTTTCCAGTGGGTTTGTGCGCCCTGCGCAATGCTGCTCGTTTGGCGAGCGTGCCATTTTCGCAGTCAGCCCCATTCCCAAGCGCAACTGTTCCCCCCCCTCTCCGCGTCGCACCGAATCGACCACTCCAATCCCCAGAAAACAACCCACGCCCAAAGTGCGCCACCCCTCCCCCCCACATCCTCAGACTGGATACAGGAGCAGCCACAGGCACGCCACCGCCACGGCGCCCACCACATTGTGGGCACACATGAGCCTCCAGGTCAACTTCCGCCTCGCTGCCGGCCCGGCCCCCACAAACTCCGACCGAGCGTTATACTCCCTCACCCAAGCCGCGTAACACGGCACCCACACGCCCACCACAGCATACGTCACAACCACCACCTGTCTACAGGCGTCCACCGCCCTTGGCTCCTGTCTACCACCTACCCCTCCCGTGAACAAGGAGTCCAGCCACCTCCACGCCCACGTGGACAGGGCCGCGCCCTCGGCCGTGCCGGCGGCCTGGGCGCAGGACGCCTCCGGCAAGCGCAGGGCCAGCAGCACGCCGGCCTGGGCCACCGCCGCCGGCAGCTGGTGCTTGGTCAGCATCGGCGCGATCATGCCGGGGATGATCAGCGAGCCCAGCCCTGATGCGATTGCCAGCCAGAGGGCGAATGCATATGCTTCTGGGGATGCCTCCAACTGGGGTGAGTCCGATGTCAGGAGGGCGAGGGAGATTGTGGCTCGTCTGATCGCCGTCAGCGCCGTCCTCGCTTGCACGTTGGAGTCCGCGTTGAGTGCCATCCAGAGGATTTCCGTCAGGGCGGAGGCGGCGGCCAGGGCGGTCGTGCGCCAGTTTGATGCCGCCGGGCCAAGCCATCCCGACAGGAGGGCGGTCAGGAGGGCCGCCGCGGCCACCCCCCGCGCCACCAGATCGAACGGGCGGAACAGGCGCCGCGCGCAGGCGGCCTCAAACCGGCGCTCGGCCCCGGGATCGCCGAGCCACAGGCAGGAAAAGGGGATCATACGATCAACGGCGTCGTTTTACGACAAATTGTCGTATTGAATAGTATGCCGTGGCCCACCCGACACCCCGCCCTCCCCTCCGACTGCCGCAGCTCGCCCCGATTCGATCACCGACGCATTTCCTGACGGATCGCCGCCGATCGACCCCAGTCTTCCGATCTCCTCCTGCGTCCCGCGGGCGCCGCGGCGCCAACCCAGATCGACGAAGTGCGTCGTGGCCTTCCGCGCGCCGCGGGCGCAACATTCGCCTGTGGCGGGCACGCCGGCGCTCAGCGGGGCATGGCCCCGAGGCCGTGCCGCCAGGGGGGCCTGCTGCCGAAGGGCGGGACAGGCGAGTGCGGGCGCGGCGGTGTTTTTTGTCGTATGAGAGCCACCGGCGACGATATCGAATACAATGCATGCCAGTACACGTGCCTGTACGCATTGGGGCCGCCACGCCATTACGAGAGCGCGCGAGGACTTCCGGTGTGACTGGCGGCCTGCGGATCAATCAGCGGATGAGCGGGCAATCAGTGGGCGCGTTGGAGGCGAGGACGAGGCCGGCGGAGGCCTCACGTGGACCTGCTGTCACTGGCTGTCGCGTGCCACGCCGTGGGCAGCGCTGCTGAAAAGTTCAACTGTGTTGACGCGCGTGGGTGCTCGTGCGCATCCGCGCGTCCTGTGCACTGGACGCGCAGGCATCTGCCCGGGTGCCCTGCCCGTCGAGAATATATTAGTCGCTCTGTCTTTTCCATGAAGATTCCTGCTTCCCCCGCCGACAAGGCCAACGCCGGTCGGTGGGTCAGTGGTTTAGGTTTTAGGGTTGTCCGAAACAACAAGGCATTTTCACGGAAAAGTCTGAGCGGCTAATTGGGTGCTGCGCACGTCCTGTGTCACGGGCGTAATGCCGCCAACACACGAAATTCCCTCGATGCATTGCAAGTCGCCCTGTCGATGTGGGGATGCGGTCTAGGAAGGTGGTCGGTTCTCCGCAGGCGCCAAAATTGAAGGCGTGGACCCGGGGTGGGCGGAGCCCAACGCTGCATACAGCACCATTGTTAGCGCCCTGTGTGCATTGCACTTGGCTCCAACCAATGCTTGACCGGGAGTCGCGTCGCTCTGCTCCCCCCGCGTGACATCTGCTGACCATATGGCCGTCGTGGTTCTCCACTTTTCTGCACGCAACACATCGTCTGCGTGCCCATGTCCAGACATGTTGCTGTGCTCCACAGGGCCAACCAATGCTGTGTATTGAAATGCATTCAGATGCTGGTGTCAACTTTGTACCAGGCAGTAAGTACAAATTTTGAGGAAGCATGTGCACCAAATATTTCTTGAGGTAAACTTTGGCTTTATGTGAAGGATGTCGCCTCATTTTCCCAACTATGATGGGATAGTGTACAGCCACAGGCAGGGCATTGCAACCTGCGATAGTGGGTCAATGTAATGTGGGGCCGCCATTGCGGTCTGTTGCATCGTGCAATAGCCACCTTGGGCCTGTGATGGAACTTTAGAAATGGGACTTAGAAATAGAAATTCTGATATAGAATTAGGACAAATTTAAAATTAGGGAAAGTGTAGAAACAGATCCAACAGCATTGTCAAGAACACAGGGACCTGTACACTTCAACTCAGTTCACATGATTCACACACGATTTCCAACAATCCATCACTGAAGATTAATTAATAATTGACAATTGCTAAAACAATCAATCAATGTGTGTAAAACTGGCAAACTGCTGCCAGTGTGATTCGGCCGCTTGTGCCACATATGTGGCCACAACGGCTGACCCTTGGCTTCACAATTAGCACATGACGGGACAGTAAGTTGGAAAACTACCACATTCAAATGTGGCAGGGCAGGGTTCAATTTCTCACTGCGGCGCCCAACGCGCGCTGATGCCGCCATGACAACCTCGAGAGCTGCAATCCCGCCATCGCGCTTCAAAGTAGCATGCTGATATTGAATACAGGATGAAGCCTTTCTGCAAAATAACTTCTGCTCCGCACATAGCATTCTAGCAGCTCTGTCAATCAGCAAGCCAGCTGCAGACACTTTAAAAGTTGTTGATATGGTAAAGCTTCGATGACTCAAAGATTTCGCAAGGCCCTTTTGTGGCCGAAGACAACGGCTTGCGGTAGTTGATGAAATGGATGTCTGTGACGGGGCTGAAACAAGCGCCCTGGTTGTGCTGCGCTCCAGTTTTTGGCTCACAATGTCCTCTTGGGCGCTGCCATCAGATTTTGGCGGGCATGCATTTCTTGCAGAATTCGCAATCTGCAAGCCGCAAATTCAACTTGCACTGTATTCCATAGGCTATTGCCAATTCTGACATAGAATTATCACAGGCTGGTGCACTTACAGCCATGTAGCAATTAAAGCACTCACATTCCTACAGGGTGCAGGGTTTTAAGGGACAAGAGGCGGCAGTGGAGATGGTGGAAGTAGCGAGGGCTGGGTTGAGCCTGCATTTTAATACCTGTTCAGTTTGTTGTACCAGGGGTAGTTTTCGGTGCGATAAGAGCGATTTCTTTCGGCTGGTCCAGACCATTGTCGCAAGCACGCAAAATGGCGCCTTGTGAAATTTCGTGTGCTCCTGCGCCGCATTATGCCTGTCTTCAAGAATCCAATAGTGCCGCCATACAGCTCTCCATCGCACGATGCCCTGTTGTGCCCTGCGCAGCTATGCTAATGGCATAGCATAATGCACAGCTATTGTATTAATGCATTCATACCCAGCGCTCAGCACGCCCACCTAAAACGTCTTTGCAAATACTCGCTTAATCTGAAAAATTCTAGCCTGAGAATTACGCCAGGCCAACTCTGCAAGTTTTCTGCTCCGCACTATCCTCTACACACCCCACTCACACACTGGCCAACATATGTCACAATTATATGATCATACTCTCTGCATTATTAGGATCCATCACTTTCACCATTTGGACCTGATGGCCACGACCACCGTGACCATCAATGGCGTTCGTTCCAAGCATGCTTGTTCTTTGCGTTTACGTTGACGCTCTTATATGTAAAACGCATATACAGACAAGGGCTGTTATGCGGCTGCATTTACGTGTTTTTGTGGATCGTCGGGACAAACGGGTACCAGATAGAGTCGCGTACAATGATCATCCCTCCACCTCCTCGAGCACCCGCAACACAGCGTCGACTTCGCACTCGGTAAGGGCGAAGACGGCGTGGAACGAAAGTTCGTTTTTCTGCGCATTACAGCGCGTGTGACTGCCAATCCCCGGACACACAAAAGCTGTATGTACTGTTTTTATGTACAAGGGGCTATGTTTACGTTGTATTTACGTATTTCCACACGGTTTTACGCATAAGTACGCAAAAATTGTTTTTACACGTAAAAAGCGTAAATGCGATCTGTGCTTACCGCGTAAATAGCAAGCCTGACTCAGAGCTAACAGCACCATCCTGAAATCAGCCTTACCCGTTCCAAGGCCGGTAATTGTGCTGATCCTGGCAGCACTCCAGCATTGAAGCCTCAATGTTGGAGTCGAGCCAGCGAGAAATGTGCGACCGCCACGTGCTAGGTACAAGTGACTCAGGGGCAAGAATGACGTTGTGTTGCTGTAATTCGACGCCTGAGGGATGGCGCCCTGAAGGCTACATGGGAGGAAGGAACAGCATCTCCCGCCAACGCAATGATCGCCACAGCCACTTCAGAGTGCAGCAAACTTGCACGGCTTTCGGACGTTTGGAGATGCGCTGGCACAACATCCTTGCGGGAAAAGGTGCACAGATGAAAAGTATCTCAGGATAGCAACATGCCAGCCTCGGTTTGCACCCTCCATAGAGGCTTGCTCAAAGGTTTGGGGCAATTCATGTCATGCCGATTTGGCTGCATTTTGCAGCCTTAAGGCTTTTGGCCAAAAGGCCAAAAGCTTTTGGCGCACATATGTTGGTAGGGACTCAGTGCAAAACTACCATATTGGCGCACATTACGTAGAGAATTATGTGCACAGTCTGCGGCACATCGCCCTTGGTTCCTTGCATCCAGCTCGCCGCGTGGGCGGCCTTGGGTCCTGGAGTCATCGGGGGCAGTGGCGGAGAGTTCCCCAACTCTGGAGTTCCGGAACTACCGGAAGCAACCGCGGCAGTACTTGTACTTGTACTGCCGCGGTTCCTTCCGGTAGTTCGGAAACTGCACTGATGCCGCAAGCCGGTGGCCGCGTTGGTCGTTGCCAACAATTAGTGCGCGGTGGCTGACTGATCGCCTCCCAGAAGCACGACGGCGAGGCGCAGACGATTCAAAGTTCGGGTTGCCCTGGCCGCGAGCTGGCGGTGCGCGGGCACGGGTGCCGGCCATTTCGTCTAAAGACAATTCGTTTAACTTACAAGTGGTCTAAGGACAATACTTCTAATAGACAACTCGTCTAATATTCCGTTGACCCACGTTGACTTGCTCATATTCGCATCGCACCTGCTATCGAGGGCCCTCACTCGTTCAACGCATTCACCTATACCAAAAAAACAACTCACTCATATTTGTATTCCAGCTCAAGGCGGTTGCCCAAGAGCCGTGTGGAGCTTCAACGCCCTTTGTCTGCGAATCAATTCCCACTGTGGACTGGGGTCGTGTTGGCCCGCCTCTCCCGTCGATCCGCCTTCTTGCCTCGAAGGATCTGCTTGCTCCCTCGCTGCCAATCGGCCTGCCATTCGGTTGCCTCTATCGTCGATCCATAGATGCCAATCGACGCCCCACGCTGCGCCAAACCGCGCCACACCCGCCAGCCACGTTACTGGACCGGCGCTCACCTTCCTGTGCTGTCCCGCCCCCTGTGCGGACGTCAAGAACGCGCCCAGGAACCAGTTCAGAATGCTGCCGGCCACAAACGGAATGAATTGTAATTGAAGGTCAGTTGTAGTTGATGGGCGCTGCTTAGAAGAGTTGACTCGACTCGTCTGAAGACAACCCGTCTAACGCAAAGACGGAGTCAACGTTGCCATTGACTTCACCACAGGGCAGCTGAACGCATGCAACGGCTTTGAAAACGAGTGGTATTCGTAGCAGAGAAGTTTGTGTCATTGGCACACAACCAACCCATGGCCGCGTTTAGGGAGGATCACCCGTTAGACAAGTTGTCCCTAGACGTAATGTCCTTGGACCACTTGTCCGTTAGACAAGTTGTTTTTAGACGAATTGGCCGGACACTCAGGGGGGACGCCCCTCGCGCACCGATTACATGCAATCGCCAATTTTGAGCAGCTCGATCGGCCAACCGGCAAGCGCAAGGCCATCGCCAGGGCGCCCAGCTGTGCCACGTCCAAAACACGCGAACCGCAGAAGGGGTTGACTTCACCTCAACGTGACGGCTCCCTGCCCAAACTTTACGTCAACTCTGGGGCATCCCTCAGCATCCCCACACCCCCAGTACTTTCGGATGGCGGTTCACGTGTCCCAGGACCCCACCACGGCCCCCCCACCTTCCGGCCGACACCGGCCGCTGACTGCTCCCGTACATCGTACGCGGCTCGACGCGGGCGAGGACACCCCCACCAGCCTGCACACCCACTGTACGCGGCGCCAACTGGGGCCCACAAAGTCGTCGCCCCCCCACGCATACACACTGGCCAAGGGGCCTCTGGCCCCCCCGGCGTTTTGCGGGCCCAGCCCCCAAAATAGCCGCATCCGCGGCCAGGCGGCATCGCGGGGTCCATGGCGCGGGCTCCCGGCCCGGGCTGGCCGGCGCAGAGATGGGTCGACTGGGGGGCCCGCCGCCTGGCGCCCGTGGGAATGATGCCCTTCAGCGGGCTGTGGTTCTCGGACAGGGCGGACGAGGTCCGGTTCGCGGAGTACTACGCGTGGTCGGCCTTCCGCGGCCGCGACGCGCTCTGGCGCACCCTGCGCGTGTTCGGCCTGCCGCTGCACGCCGCCACGCGCATCCGGCGCGATGGCGTGTCGTGGAGCGCGCTCACGGCCGTGGTCGTGATGGCCGCGCTGCTGTCCGTGGACTACCTCGCCCTGGCGTGGCGGGTGAACGCGCCGGGCCGGGGCCACGTGCGCAACCGGCTCGTGCTGGTCGAGCGCTGCTTCGTGTGCATCGCCATACCCCTTCTTCTGCCCGTCTGGTTCCGCGAGCCCATGGCAAGCCCGCTGGCCCTCCCCCGCTTCCTGCTGATGAACACGTCGACGTGGAGCCTGGTCGCCTTCGCGCTGGGGATGCAGCTCCTGACCAAGCGCCACCTGGCGGTCCAGGCGCTGTACGTCCTGGTGCTGCTCGGCGCGAGGGTGCCGTCCAGCTCGTGTGTTGTGGCGGACAGCACCCCGGAGGGGTCTTTCTACGTGCTGACGACGTGGCGGGCGGTGGAGGGCGCCCTCGCAGGCGCGGGGGGGGAGGGCACGCCGTCCGTGCAGGAGTGCTGCAGCCACATCGTGAAGGTCATGTACGTGCTGGTGGGATGGTTCCTGCCGTCCTATGCGCTGTGGGCGCTGGAGTACGGGGCCCGGGCCAAGTTCAGCAGGACGTGCGCGGTGCAGTGGGAGCCGCTGACGCTGAGGCTGGTGGCCGCGCACGGCGTGATCGCCGCCGTGCTGGCAGGGTGCCTCTGGCTGGGGCTGCACCCCAGGCTGTGGCCCGCTAGCGGGACGTGACGGCCGCCGCGAGGTGCTTGAGGCCCGCCGCGTCGTGGGAGCCGGGGCGCATTGCCGGTAGTTCGCTGAGACTGCCCGCAGCTGGTGCCCCTGATTGCCGCGCGCCCCAGGGGCCCACTGCCCTGGGTATCTTGGCGATTGAGGATTGGGGACGTTGTTTCGGATGGGGTGGCGGTAGGCGCGCCTTGTGGCTCTTGGGTCACTCTTGTTTGAGCCCGAAACTTGTATGGGGTGTGATTCCGAACATATTGTTGGTTGTGAAACCATGCGAGCTGAACAACATTGCCACCACGATCGGCGAGCGCCACCAGTAGCCGATTAGGAGTTTTCAGTTTCAAACAGGGAGCAACGTGGCCCACACGGGTTGCTACCTGTTTCGTCATTTCCCGAGTGTGGATGGGGCATCGGACACACTCTTGTGAAGCACTAGGCAGGGAAGGGGTGATGGATGCTTTTGACGTTCGGGAACCATTCTTTTTCCCTCTTCGCTCATATCTTCAACTGCGCAGGTGGTGTTTCGGGCTGAGCGCAGGTGTATCTTTGACATATGGCAGTCAGGCCCAAAAGACAGTCAGGTCTGCACTTGAAGGGATGCTGGAAATTTTTGGTGGGTGGGTATCCCTGCGATGAGCAATAACTTGAGTGTTGTGCGTGATAAGGACTGCAATTCGCTGGGTTGAGGGGCGTACCCTTGGAGAGAAGATATATGTGCCTGTGAAAACTTAACGCACCCTGGATATTTCTCAAGGTCACGAAATAGAATGTTGGGTTGATTCATCGACTGTTCTCGGTGCGCATTAATCCTGCCCCATGCACAATTTTTGAACCCAGAGCGAACTCCATTGCCTGCGGACTGATCAGGCAGGCTGGCAATGAGCACGAGTTGCTGTCAGTGACTGGTAATCGCCTTACTATCAAGAACACATGCATGGATGCGTTGCTGGATGCTGTTGTGAGTCCTCCACCCGGTCAGTCTGTTTGACTGCAACATCCCATGCTCCTCAATGATTGTGGCTCAGGAAGGAACCCAAGATGCCAGTCATCTGGGGGGATGGTATTGGCCAACAGTATGGCAGGGGGCAAGAAATGGCTGCCATGGAAAGACGCAGATGGAAGGCGCTCACAAGATCTGCATCCTTGCGTTGTGTAGAGGGGGCACATGTGAAGGACCCAAGAAAGACCAGAGATCACTGTTCAAGGCAATATCCAAAGGCCGCAGCACGCACTCATGCCGTAGCAGTGCTCACTGACCAGTGCTGTGTTGCTGAGCCCAGCTCTGTTGCACGAGTTGCCAACCTGGGGAAGCATGATTTGCGCATCGTCCCGATAACTTCGGCTGTCATTCTTGTGGTCAGGAGGGGAGAGGATATCAGCTGGTTTTCTCGATTTGCACTCTGCAATGGCTGTGCAACCAACAAGGCTCGCTGGGATCTCCGACCCCTTTGGCCAGCAATATCTTGCCCATTAGGGAAAAGAAACTCATCTGGATATCTGAATTTGCAGTCCACATTAGCTTTGCGAGTCAATAGGGCTCGAATGTCTAGAAGGCACCTGGGAATCAATGACTCCAGAGACTCTCAGATGTTCACATATGCACAGCAAGCACAGTGGGGTTGGAGCTGCGCTGAAGTCTCCTCTGCACCAGTATGCAACACTATGGTGGATGGCCCCAGACTCGCTGCAATGGGGCATGGGAGAGTACAAGGGACCAAAGAGATCACAGACACAAGTTGGTCATTTTGCGTGCCAAGCGTCCTGCGAACCTCGCCTTTGTTACTTAGGTGGCTTTCAGTCAGATTGAGGATGTCCAATCGATCGATTCAAGCAACCTCAACGAGAAAGGCTGGTTTACAGGATCTCTAAACCTGCACGATGGAACAAAAGTCCAGTCTGCAGTAGAGACAGGACAGAAGTGCACGCCAGCCACGTTGCTAGGACTGCCTGGTCCCAAAGGCAGTGCACCCATAATTGTCATGCTCAACACTGCGAACAACAATCATGACAAAAAAGCAATGCTAATCTTCACCCACCTCCGGAACACAACCAGCGCCCTACGTTGTTGCATGAAACGAAATCTTGTTCAGAATCGTTCCCATGAGCAGAAGCGCAAAGAACAAATGCGAGAGGTGATCCGATCCATTTCCTGCACCTGTATGATGGGACAAGGGCGCTGTGACTGTTCCTGCTCAGTGTCAGACCGAAAGGGATCTGCGATGTGGACAGTGTACCCTTCCCAGCATGCCAGTGATGTCCACCTACGTTCGAATCTCCTCAGCCATCTGCCAGATCTGATTGCAAGGAGACAGAAAACAAGCGTGTTGACAAACAAATTGGGATTCAGATGTGCCTTGAGAAAAGAAAAGCTCAACCATTGATCAACCCCTTCTTATCAATTCACAACTGGACACAGAAGCGGCTGCTATGCACCATTATGGTGTCGTTATAGGTCTATACGTCTCTTACACTGCTCCCTGTTGTCTTTACATAGATTTTCACAGACCGTCTTCCACAATATATCAGACAAAGGAAAGTTGTAGAGAAGGTACAAAAATGTTAGAGAAGGGTATAAATAAGTGCTAACTTGAAACCAGCCATCAGAGCCCTCAGAGGCCGACCCACAAAGCAAGTTAAGTTCAATGGAATCTCAAAATCGCCACCAACACTTGTGTGCCATCGGTCTACCTGCAGGATGTTGTCCTCCGCCACAGATGAGATCACCCAGTCGTTGTTGTGATTCCATGCAAAGTCTGACACCTTCGCAGTGTGGCCTCCATGAATGAAGAGGAGCTCAGGAACGCCCTCCTCTTTCTCTTCTGGTGTCTGGAAAGGCACCAGTTTTGGGTCCAATCAGATAAGCACAGCTGGTGTGCATCAAACTTAGGGAATAGCAGACCCACAGAAGAGTCATGTGACAAAAGCAGCAAGAATAAACAACACGACACAAAGTGATGTACATGTGTGAAACATATGCCCTTTATGCGAGGGATGAGCATTTTAGGACATGCCCAACTTTGTGGTTGCAGCAGATGTCATTCTCCTGCTTGCATTGTCCAAATGGCTAATGCAGTCTGCCGCAATGATGCGCAGCATAAAGTCAATATCAGCATGAGTTTCTTTGTTGGTAGTGGTCCGCACGTGCAAGATGCACATTGTTGCAAACGGCAGGTCCACCAACTTGTGTGTCTTCATCCACTGCAAATGCGAATACTGACCACAGAAATGTTGTTGAACGATCTTCACGTCCGTTCCATGATCAACTTGTTGCCACAACATCCGGCACAATAATCGTGCAAACTTTCATTCCCAACTTGAGGTGTTGTTGATGAATCGACCTTAGCTGTCAATTTTCTGCTCCCTGGCCGCAGCCCAGGAAGGTCCGCTGGCCGCTCGCACCTGTGGGTTTCCACTCTTTCCCAAATCCCACACCAGCAGTCGTCGATCTGCTCCACAGGACGCCAAGACCCCCGCTTCCTTAGGATTCCAATTCACCTGTGCAGCACAAAACGCAACTCAGGGACACGATTTGTGCACTTCAACAACAGTCGACATCGCCTCACGAGCCTGTCTATGCGATGCTTGACTTTACCTGGCTGTGTTACCACACTGGAAGACGTGGACCCTATCAACTGGCTACTATGTTGGCTATTGGCTATTGGTATTGAATTGGCTATGTTTTGTTAAATCGAGTGTTACGAATGTATAGCTCTTGCTGTTAAGATTGTCTAACAAACAAAACAGATGGCCTTGGATGTTTTGACAACCTAACTTAATAAGGGCTCCCCAGAGATGCAGCATAGCAGGTTGTCTGTACTCCAGTCACTCAGCCCAGTATCCCATGGGAAAGTTCTGGAACCTGGATCTTTCGACCCTCACAATGGGTAAGTGGCAGGAAATCGACCAGTGAACTGGATGAACCTGCTGCTGCTTGTGACAATGAAGAGCTGCAACAGGAGCACATATGTCCGAAATGGTGTCTTGGGCTCTGGACTGAAATCGCCAATGTATGGACGAATTTGCCAACAGTGTGTTTATGGTGTGTCAAACAAGTCATTCTTTGATGCAGTTGAGTACATGAATGATCAAAATGGACTGTTGCTACAATCAAGGAGCCGATGGTGGTGCGACAAGCTGCAACACAAGACACGATCCAACACCTATGGTTCCAGAGCTGCTGGTTTGAATTGTGCAGGGCACATCCGCAGGGAAACAGGGCACCAAACAATGCATGGCTCCAGGAGGAAAGTATCCATCCCTGCCCAACTTTGTATTGTGTCACAACATCCGTCTTATAACAGCTAAGCAGTCGCTCCTGCTGTTCTCACATCTGTGGCAGGTTACAATCAGTCAGTCCAGATTCCTGAGAAGTGAGTTCACAACAAGGTCACAGCATCCGCAGTACAGACACTGCAATCTTGTTGTCAATGTACCATTTAAAAGGATCAACTGATGGGCACTTGAGGTTCTCTTGTTTCACGTGCAGCTCACAACAGTGTTTGCCTCAGTAGTACCGTGGCACCTTACACTATAGACCAATAACACTCCCAAGGAGTCTGTTGCAAAGCAACGAGTTAACCTACCGCAAACACATCATGCGAATGGCCAATAAGCGAATGCATCTTCGGCCCCATCTTCCGGAGGTCATGGAGGATTACCTAAATGCCAGCAAAAGCAAGTGTGAATAGCAACAAAGGCAACCAGGGCCATAATGCATAAAGCAGAAAAAACTGATGCCAAAACAATTCAGTGACAAGATCAGTGATTGAGGTCCTAATCTCTGACTGGTATCTGCAAGATCTGCATTCTCAATCTTTCTATAGATTTCATGTCCGTTGACATGTTGTTGCAGTGCCAAGCATGTGAGGTGTTTGCAGACCACCAGAAAACCTGATGCAGCCTGATGATCTGAATTCAGTAATTTAAACACTGCTTTTGGGTGACAGCAAATGTCACCAGCACAACTGTCTTGCACAATAGCTATATCTGCAGTTGCAAGCAAAGCCTCTCTTAACAGAAGTCCACAAGCTGTGCATATAATGGTGACCTGCTGACCACACCATTCGATCCGTTGAGCCTGTGGCAACCAGCCACTCGTTCAGAGGGTTGAAGGCGATGCAATTGACCTCAGCATCGTGAGCCCGACTGGTGAAACGAGGACCTGCTTGGGCAAACAGCGACGATCAGGGCCCCTCCGATTCTATGAGCTTTGCTCATTGGTTGCGCAGACACACACTATTGAGGCTGTTAGGATAGCCACTTTGCGTAGAGGCGCCCAAATGCGTCGAAACACATGGTTTGCAGCATCTCATGGGCAAAAAAGAATTAAGGGCGTACTTCCCGGCACTTGCCTTCGCTCACCCATTCCTCAAAAACCAGCAAGGTGGGGCAAAAGCTTAAGGATTTAAACTGTGTCAGCAGTGTACATTACTTCAACAAATTCAAGTGGCTGCAATGACTCTTTACTGGGCAACTGACAGGTTACACAATAGTTTTACACAATCAAGACATTGAAAGTTTGCAGCAAAACCAATGGCACCACAGTTCATGGTCAGGAGATGTCGCTATTAGGCATGAAAATCATGTTGCAAGGAGCAACTTAAAGCGTTCAGTCGACTGTTCATTTAGGTCAACGGAGTCAGTCTCCCATGGGCTTAACGACTTATGCAATCCAAAGATTTCAAGATTTGGTCTGGGACAATAATGTGTCCTAACACAAGTGCTTTGCATTCTCACCAACCTTCATCCGGGGCCACCCGTGTGTCCCACACAAACACCATCTTGTCATCGCCCACAGAGCCAAACATGTTCTCGTTGCGCATGTGCCAGGCAACATCCTGCTTGCAAATACTGAACATCAGGGACTCTTGCAATGCGACTATGCTTTGCACAGTTTGACGATTTCTTGCAGGGTGCAGGGCACTGGGCATTCACAGCCATCTTATATTCTAACAATCTGCCTATACTCTTATGTTCTTCTAATCTTATACTCTTGTGCATGGTCAATTTTCTTTCCTTGGGGGTGCCAACATGTAATCAGAAGTTGTTCTGATGTGCACACAAAGATGTTGTATTTGCAGCACCATGAGCAATCACAATAGTGATGGTCTGTCTCCAGTTACCAGAATCTTGAATGCTTGACATGTTATCCAGATATGTTTCGTTGGTTCTTAATCATGGCTGCTTGTCTAATGCAACTGGATGGATTCAATTTTTGTTCAAATATGTTTGCAGATGGCTGGATGTCCTGGACAAGAATCGCAACCCCGGGAAGGTTCCCTTCACTCAGAAGTGCACATCTGCCAGAAACAATGACAAGAATTCGCTACACATGCCAGTGACAGGGGTACATTCAGGAAGCAGCCATTTCATGGCTTCAGCGCGAATGCCACACAATCTATCTCAATGCCACACAATCTATCTCAATGCCACACTGCTGGACATAAAGCTCTCAGCAAGTCACCTGGTGGTGATAGCTGTCAATGCAAAAACTAAGAACACACACCTCAACTACATTCTCATGTCTGCTGTAGATTGTCTTGGCTGGGAGTCTCTGTCACAGAAGTGGTACACACATCGTCTCTCACAGCTCATCTGAGACAAAGACTAGTTACAGACATCATACTGGTCGATGACAACTCAAACCCTGGACACTCCTGGCATAGATGGAAACAGCCTGTGCAGTTGAATTCTCCACAGGAAATCCAAAAAGAATCATGGACACAAGCTAGGTCCAATGGTCCTCAAATTGATTCAGAAGCTGGTAAATTTATGCAATTTTATTAGCAAAGATGCTGTCCAGGCAATCTAGAAAGCATTGTATGCCAGACTACAATGCAGAGGGACCATGCCTGCAAGATTCAGCTGCATCCTCGAAAATTTACAGCTGTCATTTGACCTCCGCTATTCGTTGCCATACCACAGGCGACTCCCTTTTCGGAAAGCAGTTGCACTGCCCTCAGGGCAGCTGGATAATGCTGGTGTTATTGCATACCAATGGGCAAACTGATGAACAACAAACAGGAAGAGTGAACTAAAGTGGAAAATATGGACAATGATCAGCAATAGTGAGCAAGAACTCGAAAACAGGAAATAATAAATAAGTAAATGAAATAAGCCAATAACCTTATATAACCTTATATGCATATCCTGAAAATAGCACAAATCAATGATGCAAGCATGGGATAGTTATATCAAGACAATCATCGCGATGGGTACATCAATGCATCAGGTGCAATACCGCCTCTAGTTACCCAGAGACGAGCTGTTGGTGGCGTGTGTGTGCAGAATGGGGCCACGGCGCTGATATGCGCCTCCTGGAACGGTCACGCACCCATCGTGCAAGCATTGCTGGATTCTGGCGCAGCAGTGGACCTCGTGGACAAGGTGAGGAAATTGTTTCCACCACATAGCCGTCAGTGCAATATGCCCTTGTTATTTACAAGTTAATCTGGCGCATCGAAATGCCACTGTACAGCAGTAAATGCACTTTATGTTAAGACATGGACATGTGAACAGTGTGCTTAATGCTGTACTGTATACTATTACTAGACACATGAACATAAATATATATTGGAAAATACAACATGGCCCTGCTGTCGTCTTCTACCCAGGCAACTCCACAAACATCTTTTCGATGAGAGCAATCAATTCTGAATCTGCAGAAACAGCTGTTGCCGACCAACATTGCCAAGCAGGCAACATTAATGCCAATTAACCTTGACAGTCGTTCTCAGTTCACAGAGTTAAGGACTGTTTTTGGTCCTGGAGCCCTCACCCGATTTCCTTGAGTTACAGCATTTATGTCCCACAGGCATATCTTCCTGTCATCTGACCCGCTTATGAGGGTCCCCTGCCTGAAGGGACTCCATGCCAACCCATAGCCCTCACTCTCATGCCCCGTCAAACGCAGGTCAGGCCTGCACTCCCCTCCAGGAGGCGGCTTGGATGGATGTCTGGAGTAGTCAAAGACATAGACATCCGAATGGACTGTTTTCGTGGCGATCATGAAGGAGTTCTGTGGCATGTAGCGTGCCCTGTTGACTTCACCATCGTGATTTAGTTGTTGGACTGGCTGCACCTTGCCTGGGGCCATCCCGAATCCACCAACCCCCTGTGGACAAAGGGTTTGTTGTCAACGCAATGGAATTCAAAATTTGGAGGAACGCTTTGACAACACTCCTGCATATCGATGGCCATGGATGACCCAGACAAAATGTGTGGCCGGCAAGCAAGCCTGGTTATGAGGCCAAAGTGTATTCTGGCTAGAGTTTTCCCATTGCCTGGAAAGTTTTCCAATCTTCAGCATGAACTGCAAAGCACACATATATGAACTTTGCCTAGGACAAAGCTGGCACCAATGAGAGAACAGGTTGCAAGGCTGGCAACCTACATGGAGTTAGTCTTACAAGACAATGACAACCCACTATTAGCATTGGTACTCCAGGAAATCTGATAAGCAACAACATATGCACCTTCTTGTCGTCTTCATCTGGTCGTGCCCCGAGTTCTGTGTCCTCCAAGGGTAGGGACACTTCTACCACCAGTACATAATTCTGCTCATCTCCAGAGGTGTGCGTGCCAAGGAGCAGACGCTGCTTTGAGACGTTGTTGTCCTGGCACAAGAGGTCCTGGCAAGGGATACCATCATGGTATCTGTCAAACCCATGTATTCAGCAGCATCAAGCCCTATCGATGAACAAGGCTTTTCTAACTGTGGACCAAATGAGAAAACCCAACGTGTGGCATTCTTTTCCATGCAAGAGGAGAAGGTGCGGACATCAATATGCCCCACTGTAGGGTGAATTATGGCATGGGAAACAGGTGGATTGCTGTGATAATGGTGTTGAATGAATGTATGCCTGCTTTAGAGAAAGAATCGACCTAGTCAGCATGCGCAAGCCAGGTTCACTAGTACCAAGGGGACCATGAGAGTGGCGAGAACAAGCAAATAGACAAAATCCCACTGGCATTGATGGCCAGCGCCTTGAATGTGCAAAGACAGCACTTCGATTTCAGAGTTGTTATAATACAGTTAAGATTCAGCACCCTTCTCCAACAGATGTACTGGTGATGCCATTGGCGATTGGGCCATGAGGTTGGCTTTGTACACAGGGATCGTTGACTGATATGCATTCTTTGGCAATCTGTTGCACGAAGTCGACCAGCACATGTTGGGACCAGGGACCAAAGGGGTAAGACAGTAGAAGAGCAGAGGGGCCGCCATATAGGGCCTAGGCTTACCGGAAACCATTCCACTGTCAACGATGGCCATTCCAGTGCATGGGAGATCACCAAGTCTGCAATCAGCACAACGAACACTGAACACAGCCAGCAGCATTGTGAGACAGCTTCATCATCTGTCACATTATGGAACAGTCTCACCACAATTCTGGTGCAAAAGGGGGCACCCAGCGTATGGCAATTTTCTCCTTGTTTCAGTCTGCAGTGTGGTCCCTGGACAAGCTGCTTACATTTACGGTCCCCCTACACCCGACCAAGACAGGTGATCTTTTGCCCAGCATGTTGGTCCTTGTTGACTGCCAAACGGATGCTGTGAGATGTTTGCGAAATCAGCAGTGACATGTGTCGTGGCCAATGTGTATTTTACGCCTTGCTGAAGCGGATACATTCCCCACACTACTACCAGTCCAGGCCCCTGGACACTGAGCTGGATCGCCCACGACCCGATACCCGCAACAAATGCGCCTTCTCTTTGACGGATCAGTCACTTTGACAACCTAAGATCCCCCTTGCGCGCACAGTCTGCGCTGTCCGGGTTGCCCAAATGACCGCGCAGTCGGTTTGAAACCTCTAGCTCTCTTGCAGCGGTCGGCCAACACAACAACGGGCGGAGACAACACATCGGCATCGATCGTCCGGCGGCCGAGGGGAGAGGCACCGGCAGGCACCGGCAGCCACCGGCACACGCGCAGTCGAGGCGCAGTTCAACAAAGCGAGGGGTTCTCAAATTGGCCGCTGGGTGGCCCACACCCAGCTCGGGACACCAATCACGCACCAATGCCTGACCGCACGGGTGGCGAACACACAAAATGAATGGACGCGGGGCACAAAACCGCCCCTAGTGGCATACCTGCCCGCCAATGCCCAAGATGCAAGGACCCCGGTTTGTCCCTTTGCGGGCAATTTTGAATGACCACAGCCCACACTCACCGTACAGGAACGCGGAGTTTTTCTTCCACGTCTTGTACTCCTCGTTGAGCACCCGCTCCTCGAACTCGTCCGTCATCTCTTCGTCGTCCTTCACCATGGCGACCGGGCGTGGCGGAGGGGTGGGGGCGCCAATGAATCCAGAGATCAAGCCTCTCGATGCCTATGATGGCGATGGGCGGGCCTGGCCGGGTGCGAGGGCAGGGGCCGGGCGGCTGCAGGGGGTACCATCAGCAGAAAGGGGGAGGTCAGGGGCCCTGGAGCGGGGCAGGAGGGGACCGCCTTCGGCTTGGGTGGACTTGGTGGGACAGAAACTGGCGCCTGGGTGAGTCAGGAGGGTGTGTTCCTGCATTCGCGGGGGTGAATTTAGTCGTTCCGTCTATTCTTTTCCGTGAAGATCCCTTTTTGTTTCAGACACCCTAAACTCTAATTCACTAACCACCGACCGGCTTTGGCCTTGTCAGTGGAAGAAGAAGGGATATTCACAGAAGAGACAGAGGGACTAATATATTGCCCATTCGGGGGTGCGCGAGAGCATAATGTTGGGCTTTGTCTGCGTTTTCAGTTGTGGCACTAACGTGACGATTGGAACTGTGACAGATCAGAAGCAAAAGTCAGGAGGCAGCCAATGCGCGGGGCCATGGATAACGCAAACAGAATGCCTCACAGAAGGTGGCGGCGGTGTTGATGATACAAAACGAAATCAATGCAGCTCATTGGCCATTCACCGTTCAGAACTCTGTGACAGTATGAACGGTTGTGGGATACAGTTCATTTCAGGTTTGCCTTGGGAGAGTTGTCCTCGCAGGTGGAACGACTTGTGCGAGGCGCACCAGCCGGAAAATGGAGTAACAGTTCCTGGGTGGCAGGTTCTCTATGCTGCAATCCCCAACTGCGGCCAGCCCAGTCAAAGGTTCCAATAGCCGCCACGGCCACGAAACAGAATCGGCGAAAAATATCCACGTCCCACGACAATCGCACATGGCCCAACCTTCGCGCGCCCTGCCTCTACCTTGCCCACCAGTACACTAGCGCTTCACCGCCGCGTGATCCACCCGTGATCTACTGCTTCGCTGAACTGATCCTCAAGTCGTCCTGCCAGTACACCAGCGCTTCATTGGCACGTGATTCACCCGTTATCTACTGCTCCGCGGAACAGATCATCAAACCGTCCTGCCAGTACATTGGCGCTTGTCCGGTGCTTGATCCACTCGTGATCCACCGCTCCTGTGAACTGATCTTCGCCCCCTCCAAAGTGCACACCGCCTGCGCCATCTTCGGTGTTGCCAGAATTGAAGCGCACCCGTCGCTGCCCCTGGCGCTGCCTGCGCCCGCGGCCCGCATTCTTCGAGCCTCTGGTCCCGCGCTCCCGACCCTTGAAGTCGTCTCCCGACCAACCAGGACACACAGCCGAGACGAGCTGTCAAGATTCGCCCATCTCCCCCGATCTTTGGAGACAATGGGGTCAACCATTGCTTTGCGCCTTTCCTGCAATTTGCAAGGCGCAACGTTGTTCATCATGAAGTTGTTGTCCAGCATTTGTTGGGACAATTGCCATTTCAGCAGATATACCTGCGGGACTGGCTGACATGTTCCTGAGCTCTTGTTCCTCAACTTGCACACATTCCTGTGCGCTTCAGGCTGTGGATACCCAATGCGTTTTATGAATCGTTTGGTCTGCACACTTTCATTTATGGAATGTTTGACAATCAGAATCCAACCTACCACCTAGCAGAATCCAATTAAATGGAAACCGTCTGTCCACAACATGCTGTTTAGATGCATCGAGCTGCCTTGCTCCTGATTGTAGAGCTGAAGCCTTATTTTTCGCCTATAAGGGCCGCAGCTGATTCCTTGCAACAGCAGGACCACATGTCCAACAATGGGCGACCCCTTCCGCAGCACAAACATCTGTGAGACTCTTTTCTGTCTGTGAATGACGTTCTTGCAGTCTCCAAGTGGAAGAAGAATGCACGCTGCACACAGCAACATGCACAGTAATAAGGCATGATGAGCTGCGCATGAGCTGCTCTTTCTCACAGGTGCGGTGGCCTGGTTATTTGCACATCAGTTCAGGAAATTCAGTTGATTGATCGGTAGCAACAAGACTTGGATGCTGTGGAATCGCAAGCAAAAGGGGAATCGGCCAACGGTTTGGATGCACAGCTGCCGGCCATCGGCTACGTCTTGCATGGGTGCCACTGTGCTTTGAGAAGGTGAAGGAAATCTTGAGAGTTTATTGAGGCTGTGTTTTCTTGTCTGTGCCATCAGCGGCAGGAGGTCGACATCACACTGTCGTGGTGATGGATGATGGTACGTCTGTGGCATTTGGCTCAAATCTTCAGGTGCGTGAACATATTCTGGGCCCTGCCCATGGCACTTTCTGGACTTTGCCAACTGAGATCTATGCGCCTCCTTTGTAAGGCTCTGCAAAATATAGATAGGGAATATGAATATTAGTCCTCAACTGCCAAGCTCCTGTTTGAGAGGGCATAACAAAAGATATACATGTACCAAAGTGCATATCTCCTGCACATATTGCAACAGTAATAGCACAACATTTTCTGTGTTCTTGCAAGCACTCATCCACAATGTAATCTGCCTTCTTGAAAAAAGCACAGTGCCGATGATTTTGTGCATATACAGGGCCAATGTGGCACAGGCGTTTCGGAAAGCAAGGAAAAATACGAAGGTGAAAATTTGACTTGCCCTCTTCGATTCACGTCCTTGTGAATTTCTGGTGCGGCATGCTCATTTATCCCTTTGCAAAATCTTGCTCCTGTCCCCACTCCCCTGTGTGCATGCTTTATTGCTGGACTGATGTTTGCTGCCTTGTGCTTTCTTGCTGCAATCGGAGATTCTAAAGTCATCTTCCATAGTGGGAAGATTTTCTCACCTTGAGCACTTTGAAAATCACGCTACCCGATCACAACTCGTGTGTGATTATGGGATCGAAGGAGCACATCTGTTTGGCCATGGGTGTGTGCAGCTCCATAGTCTGCAAGCTGAAACTTGAATATTTAGGCACATCTAACACTCTTATCGCAGTCTGTCACTTGTGGCATCCACAGCAGGTCAGCACATTCCTTTTCCTGTGAACCCCATTTGTTTCCCTTCCTGATGTTTCTTGGCCAACAGTTGTAATTGCATTGCTGAAAATGCACAGCGTCATTGCCGCAGCTTCGGTAAAGCTGATGTATGCCCCCCAAGCCATGCCCATTTCGCTCCAAGGGTTCCTGTCAGATCGCAAGATAAAGGCTGTGGTCTGTGGACACAACCACACACTGGCAGTGGACAGTGACGGCATTGCCTGCACCTGGGGATACGGGGGCTATGGCCGCCTTGGCCACAAAGTGCAGCAAGATGAGCTTAGACTAAGGCCAATCGAGGGATTTCTGGGGAGGGTTCACGTGGACACTGAGAGCATCATAGTTAGCCTACTGTCGTATCTGTTCCACTTCCACTAGTAAAAAACTGGCCAAATGACACAGTCCTGACACGGTTTGCTCAAAATCTAACCGTGTACTTTTGGCAAATGTGGTCCCAAAAGTACACATTTAGTACACACATTGACACGGTTTTTACCGTGCATCCTAGGAAACCGTGTAGTATACACAGTTGTGTGAGGGTACACGGTTGAAACTGCGTCAATGTGTGTACTAACTGTGTACTTTTGGGACTACATTTGACAAAAGTACACGGTTGGATTTTGAGCAGACCGTGTTAGGACTGTGTCATTTGGCCTATTTTTTTCCTAGTGTTCTTGTCTTGCTTTCTGCCTGTTTATTTCGACAACAATTAAATTGGACAGAAGTTGCAGGAGTGCCCTTCTGTTCTGCTTTCTGGTTTGTGTTGTGTTTGGGGATCTGCGCTCTCAAAAGATCTCCCGTGTGGCCTCCATATGAGCATCGAGATAGGTGGTGGAGGGGACTGGTGCTGTGCAGCTATCATGAGAATAAAGTTGTGTGGTGAAGGTGTGCGGTGTTCTTTCACTCCCGACAAATGGAAGCAGAATTTCATGGCAGAATCAGTTGGTGTTTCAGTGATGAGGTGATAGCAAGAGACTTCAGTGCTGTGGGACCAAGGCTGCAGCCACAGTTGTGTTGCTGATGAAAGTACTGTTTTGTGAAACTGCCTATTTCAGATTGTTTTGTCAGTGCTGTTCAAACATTGTCCGGTTGCATGCAATGACAGGTGGCAGCTGGAGGCACATCGTCCTTCTTGACAGCAGGTGGGGGGCAGCTCTATGCATTGGGTAGGCTGAAGAACAATGGGGACAGCATCATGTACCCACAGCCCTACATGGAACTCTCCGGATAGAAGGTGTGGCTCTGTTACAGATGTCAGTGAAGCCCACAGTGTCAAATGCATCTTGTAAATATGGAGGAGACATCAGAAAATGTCACAAGGGCGATTTTAACAGACATCTGCTGGACAAAGAAGTCAGAAGGGTCAGTGGCCTGGTTGAGGCCAGAAGGGGCAGTGCCATATGCTGCACTGCTGCATGGAACAGTTTCGATGGACAGCGGATCCTGATAGGCATCAAGAAGGGTGCAACCACCTGAGGTGCAACATGCTTACCAGTGGCATCAAATTGTGTCTTGAAAAAAGGTGTCAGGTTGCATGAGGACACAGTGGCATTGTAGTGCATCCTGTGCTGTTAACGATTGCACGTTGCTGGCAGAATGCACGTCCTGGATATGTTGTGTCCCTACATCCTTGCCTGTGGTCTGGATATTAAATTGGATATGGCGACTTGTGTCTGATTGTGGTCAAATCCTGGATACTGTGCTTGGATCTGCAACCTGTAATCTGTAAGGGAAGACGCTGTGTCGATTTTGGTACGCTTAGCGTCAAATTGACGCTTGGGTGGGGTTTGGGGGTTTCCAGACATGTGACGGTAAGAGATTGTGTAATTGCCATGAAATCGACATGAAGATGGAAGGTGCCCAAAAGCGCCACTGATAAATGGCAAAGAACCCGCGACAGGTCACTCAAGAGCGGCTGTAGAGGATGCTGTCACGGAATAGCTAGTAACGGGCAGATTGCACAGCCGTGCTGTCCTGGCAAAATACCCCGGACCGGTGCAGCTGGTGGCATGCAGGTGCCAAACGTCCTCACAGGTCGCAAAAGAGAAGGATGGCTGAATGAGCGCGGAACGTGGCTGGAGGGTGTTCAAACGCTCTGCTACGACAATTGATGCGCGAATTCCGGGGGCGGCGTTGCCCCCGGATCGATCCAGGGATATCCGTGCACTGTTTCCAAATTGCAATCGGTGAGCGTGGGCGGTAGGATGTGTTAGGATAGCAGGAATGTGCGCACAAACTTCCAAGATGGCAATCGGCGGGCATGGCTGGTGGCATGGAGAGCTGCAGAATGGCGACGCAGGGTGCAGGACTCACTGTTGCGAGGTTGGAAGCAACTGCTGCGCTGCGATTGTTGCTTTTGCTGCAAGACATTGGCGGCAGAGGCGATATAAGGTGACGAAGTTTGCACAAAAGATGACGCAGTCTGCCAAGTTTTGACCCTTCAGTCGCCCCTCGGTACACATTGCCGTTTCATGCTCTTTAAGGCGTTCATCAAGGAATGTGAACGGTGGAACCAGCCTCTCCCATCCGGGCCTCTTGTCGTTTAGAGGCTTAGGGCTTAGGAGCTGCTTGGTTTTTTGCATGTCTTCATTGCAGCTTGTGATGTGAGGAACGTGTCGCTGAAGACAGGCCCGCAGGCAATGTCGGTGAACTGCGTGGTTGGTAAGATTGGAAAGTCAGTGACATGGATCCTCCGTATGCCACTCGAATTCCCACAGCACAGGCGCAGCCGTCCATGTGCGACTGCTGCAAACCCCACCACTTGGAAATGCGCCCAATCAAGTTTAAATAGTCATTTCGCATCTCCAATCATTCCCCACTCCTCGATTTCCACAGATGTCCGCCCCACCCCTACATGCACTCCCTTCGACCCGAGGTTTATTTCCGCCCGCGCGCCATTTTTCCATCGCCCGCCAACTTACATCCAAACAGTGACGATTATTCTGCATAGATGACGCAAGCACGGGTGAACGTGCACATGCCCCTGACGCCCCGCACCATGAAAAAAGCGAGCAGACCAGCCCTCCTTTCAGCCAACCCTCACTGCGGCACCCATTGAATTTGTCGATGCGAACGGCCCACCAGTCCCTCCAGCCAGACTGCCTCGCCCCAAGATTAAACTACGGGCGTGGACAGACTTCGGTGCCTATATACCACCACCCCAGGACTCCGACGTCGACCACCATAAATAAGGGCGCGTAGCTCGGCCCCCAAGCACTCCCCAGTCACACACGCCGCATGTAGCGCGCCACAGCCAACACAACCAAAGCAATCGGAGCGCTCGCTCAAGACTCAGTCGCAAACAGCGGCGCAGATGACCCGCTCGTCAGCGCCGAGAACACCAAACCCTGTTTCCGAAAAAGCGGCACTTTGTAGTACAGTACTGCGAAGAGGTACAGAGTAACTTTACACCACATTTTTTCTGAAAGAGACTCCATTTTCCTGATAAGCAGGTGCCCACGCATGAGCTCCCCGATATTCGCCGCTGTCATCCGGACAGGATGTCCGCACGCGGGATGAGCACCCTGTCGATCTTGTGGATCAGTGCGCTGCAGGCCGGTATGTCCGCCTGCACTACCCGCGCGGGCCGCGCCTTGTTGCCACCGGGAGACTCGATTTCGATGCCGCCGTCGTCCACGCGGACCCTGATCTCGCCGTCTGCGCCGTGCAGCGTCCTGAACACGTGGCGGTCGAAGAGGCGGCGGGACTGGGCGGCCACGTCCGGCACGATGTGCATCTTGAGGATCTGCAGGGGCACGGTTTCCGTGCGTCATGCCGCCGCTGAGCGACTATCGCCCTGTTACGCGACTGGCTGCTGCAGCGCCAGGTACAGGATGCGTAGGGAGACATTCACAAGTAAAGATCGGCAAAAGTACACGGTTTTGGACAGTGTAAAAATCGTGTAAATCTGTTACAAGGCGTATAAAATCATGCATACTCCCTCAATCGTTACTACTCGGTTTGGCCCCATTTTGTTAAATACACGATTTAGCACGATTCTTACGCGATTTCATTCATGGTACACGGTACACGATTTTCGAAACCGTGTACTTTGGACTGTTTTTCATAGTGATAATGATGCCGACACCTGATCGGGCGAGACGGGGTTGGTTCGTGGCAGGTTGAACGTGCAAGAGGTGAATGCTGTTTCTGCGCTCATAGAATGTCGTTGCACTCAAAATTTCAGGTGCACAATATATTGGTATATCTGTATCGTGTGCCAATGTCGGCAAACGACGAATGGAGTACGCCTTGTTCAACAACTGCGTCGGCGCTGGTTCTGTGGGTGTGGGTGGCGAAAGTGGCGCTTCACACCCTGCAATCTCGCCGTTTGCTGCTGTGTACTGCTCCTATCGCACCCAGAGATTTCTGTTGTTGAAGTTTTGAGTATTCTAATCATTCTCTAATTACACTATAATAGAAAGGACCAAACAGCACATTTTGTCCACGTTTGAACACGTGCTATTTGGCCCTTTGTTTCCTAGTGTTAATGACGAATTCTAAGATTGTGGAAAGGAATTCGTGGGCAAGCTAATGTGGCAGGTGTTGAACGGAGTTTACCCATCCCATGCAATGCACAATCTTACCAGCGATGCGGGTGGCAAAAATTGCGATTTTGTTACCCCCACTCCCACTCCCACTCCCAATCACACCCCACCCACCCGGTATGTGCCAGCATCACTAATTGCAATGCGATGTCATGAACAAGCTCTCAGCAACCAGCACCGTGCACAAGTAGCCACGGGCAATCATTCATGTGCGATTCCGGAAGACAATGTTTCCGAGCGTGACGCCAAACATCGCGCAGCAGGAGAGCTGTGTCAGTGTTGGTGGACACGCGCGGCCACACTGCCTCACCTCGTCAACCACTTCAGTGTACATTGGGTCCGTGAAGTTGTCAATCGTGGTCCTCACATCGTCAGCAAGCTTCTTGAATGCGCTGTCCGTGGGAGCGAAGATGGTGACCTCCAATTCGGGAATGTCCAGCGATATGTTTGCTGTGGTGGCCTGTGGAGGAGCCCAAAATGCGGGTGCGCGACGTCAGACAAATTGGACGCTGGCGCCCCTGCCCGGCGCAGGCAGTAGCAACACATGCCCAGAGCGCCGCCCTAGTTTTGACTGGGTGAAAAGGCCAAACTACAGGTGCTCAAGCGTGTACACAGTTTACGGGTTTGGGTTGTTATTGTGTGCTTAGAATACAAAACACTGATGAAATGCATTTCACATGCGCTCGGAAACAGGCAGTCCTTCGTTGAATGTAGCCAATGCAGCATTTGGCACCGCACTCAGGAGGTGAGAATTTGATCGTCATTGAGAGACCCTCGACGCAGACATCCAATTTGCCCAGAAACGCACAGACAGCAAGCATTGAATGTCTACATGAACCGTCGACATCTCGCTTCAATGCAACGATAATGAAGCACTGGCACCGGTGGCAGTCACATTCACAGACTGACTCTTGTGGTGTGCCTGCCATATCTGTAAAAATGGCCATCCTCATGAACGACCATGGGTCATGACTAATGGGCAGGCTTCGCGGTCGCCCTTGGGCACAGATGTGGGTCCCATTTCAGCATCCGGGAGTTTGTTCGCAAGCAAACTGTGCATGGCGACCTCGCCAAATGTCCATGTTCGCGCTTTCAGCGCTCAGGGCATAACTGTTATAGAGATTTTGCATGTCTATCACAAGCACATTCATCACGGCTGCAGTCGCGATGAATATGCTTGTGGAGGATATGCACGTGATCATGCAACTGCAAGACGGCATTTCTTGGGAGTTCAGGCATTGTCCCTCTTTCTTGGAGTTTTTCTTTTTGTATTTTTGTCCTAGAACTGGAAAACTGTGGAGCAGGAGCAACAGCAATCAACATCCTGCAGTCCATTCACAACATGAAACACATGTTTTAACTAAGGCAAGATGTGGATGGCTTAAGGAAGGGAGGGAAGAGGAGGGAGGAGGGGGAGGTGGGGGTGGGTTTGGGGGTGGTTGGGGAGGCGACGGGGCAGGAGGTGGCTGGGGATCCACCTGGGCTTCATAGTCGTAGATGACATAGTATACCGGAACTGCGGGAGGAGGTGGTGGTGAGCCTGCGCATGAAGCGACGGCATGTTGCTGCTGGGATTCAAGGCTGCTTTGCTTTGTTGTCGGGGACTAGTGTCCACAGCACGTTCGTTTACACAAGAGTGGCGCGTCATCTCCAAGAGGCGCATCAACACTGGAGTACGGGCAGAACTCTGCAATGCCAACATTGAGGCATTCTACTCAACGTCTCCTAGCATCGAGACGATGTTGCATTATTACCAAATACCAGACAGAAATGTGCCCAACAACATGAGCATTGCGGGGGCACAGTATTCACAGCGCAAACCCTGTTTCGGTTGGAACACCCCTTGCAATTTTAATCGTGTATGTTTCGAGCGATTTTCACCGTTAATGGACGACAGTATTATTGGCTGCACATGTCCGTGGCATCACATGATGTATCACGGGCACACGTGCCACCGCTCCGAGCGGATTTCATGCAGCTACGCCCACAGAATGACAAACGGGCAGTGGCAGCTGTGCCGAAACACCAACAAATTGCATATGTGACCTTGCTCGCGCTGCCTTTAATATTGTTTAGTAAGATCAGGGTGCTCACAAGATTATCGCAGCCAGGAATTCATCCCTGTGAACTTGTGTACCGACTCAAAAAAAATACAGCCACACTTTGATGTATCTACAAATATCTCATGAATTCCAATGAAGGAAGTTTCCGAAACGGCAAACCGTTCCAGGGTACTGTGTCAAGAAGAGCGCATGATCATCATGGTATTAAGTTCCTTTTGATTAGGTGATCTGGCGGAAAAATACGTCAGCTCAATTCACCTGCAATACCATTGAGAAAGTCTTGCAAGGGGCCTTGTTCCAGTACCAGTGGCTCTGCGTCAAATTCCTCAGTCGTGCCTGGGCATTCAAGCCTTCCAACAACTGGAATTCTGCATTCCAGCAACCTGACATTGAAGCAGGCAAAGTGAGTGACCTTGCCCAAAGAAAGCTTCATCAATCATGGAAGTGTACACTGATAAGCTGAATGGCGCATGTCGACGTGTGACGTCAGGAACTCAGAACTCTCCTAAAGCTGAACGAGAACCCAAGATAAAGCGGCCAACGTTACGCAAATCCTGCAGCATCCGTTTGACTGTAGTGCCACAACGTGCCCTTGAATAATGCATCGAATGGGACGTTTTCCTCTCACCCTGCTGATGGCGTGCCGGAGCCATACTTTAACCATCTCTGGAATGAAAACGAGTGACGATCAAAACACTAAGTCATGCAAGTGCTCTGCTTCGGCTGCGCGTTGGGCCGTGGCGTAACGTACACCTGAAGCCGACCCCTGGGAGACGCAATACATTTTGTCGAAGGAGCGCTGGTGAACGTGAACTCACGTCGTCGCTGTGCTCAACTTCAGGCGTGCGCCATGTCGCAAATCATTGCGCAGCTGAACCAGAGCACTGATATCACTTGCATTTTCGAGCGTTACTCATAGCCCATGGAATCAGATGCCACGGATGGAGGATGCAGCTAATTTCATCCCATATGCTCCTTGCACACATTCCAAGCCAGTCACGTGACTTGCGGCCTTCCTGATGCACCGACGCTTCCCATTGGTATCGGGCGTAAATTCAAGGACATCCTTGGTTACTTTGTTTAGCTTGAAGGCCTTCGAATTCCTCTAACACCCATATTAAGGAGTGATTGTTGACCAAATGGGCCATCTACACATCACGCCCACGAATAACTATAATAAGCAAAAGCACGCAGAGCGATTTTGGTTGGTCAGGGCCAATGTCGATAATGTATTCATTGTGACATATATTCGACAAAACAATCTGGCCAGTCAGCCAGTACAAGAGCTTCGACACCAGTTTGGACAAACAGTTACAACGCCACGCGACTCACTGCAAATTCTTGCCTCCGCTCTGCAGAAGAATGTGGGCCCGACCGACTGGGTGCAGCAGTTCGTATCGGGATTTGTGGCAAGGCTTCAGCAACATTTGCAAACGCACTTTGCATTCCCAGAACGCGGGATTTGCGAAAGCGTTGTCTTAGCAATGACATTGCGAGGCCGATCAACGCCGGTGTTAAGCTGCCCGGTCTCCGTGAGATATCCAGGGAGGGACTCAGCCACATCTGAGGCAGTGTGAGGGCGCCCCTGCCATGACTCATCACATGACAAGTAACCCAAAGGCTGCGCCTTATAGCGTGGTTGGCACTCACATTTGCAGGTAGTCGTCTGGAGGAATGCCGAGCTTTGCAGGAACTTCCATGAGGAATTGTGAATAGTAATAATTGTCGCAGAGACCTGCATGACGGGCATCAACTTCAACCTCAAATCAACTTCAAACTGTGTATGACACTCCCATTTGATCTTAAGCAGCCATTTGGAAGTTGCGATGCCTTGGGCCATCCAAAAGAATTGCATGAGCGCTCCCAAGCGTTGCGTTATGATGCAGTGAGGGCGCGGTGAGGATTGGATCAAGAGCGACTAGGCTCAGAGCCGTCAAGCGTGGTGCGAGCTGCAGTGGACCAATGGTGCCCAACTCAATGGCCTGCTTCTTTTCCACCTTGTTCATATCGACATCCAGGGAACTGCGCAAAGCACGTATGATCTCGATGCAATTGACGCAGAGTGGGGCACTACTTCTTTACTGTTGTGTTTCACGGATTTTCAGATGATATGACACTCGCAAGTCCCTGCATCTCACTTCGGGATTGCTGCACCACGCTAATGAAAGGAACCAAGGAATATCAGCCAACGATGTGCGTGGCGCGTGCAAATCAGATGCACTGGCAGCCAGCGCCTTTTTGATTCATTGAGTTGGGAGCTGCAGCATCCCTTTTTCCACCGGTTAGTTCGTTCCCTTTTCACAGATTACTTCACAATTGCGACCATTTCCAATCCGCTTTCTCTGCACATACTCCCAGACCCACAGGGAGCCACTCACAGTACGCCAGCGCTCCTCGACCGCCGAACGTCTCTTGCACCTGATCCAAGCAAGACAACCAACAATGCGACTCAAAACCGAGGATGTGCAGACACCCGCCGCCGAAAGGCTCCACCGAGAGCTGCGGAGCCACCGCGTCTAAACTCTCCATGTGCTCGCGTGCCCAGACAAAAGGCTGTCGAGGATCCATTGCGAAGCGGCTTGCAAAATTGCTTGAACTCTCCCCAGCCAGCGCTGGGTGTTCCTGCATCACCTTCTCGCAGCAGCCCGCCTCTGCGCCGCTCCCCGCGCATCCCTCCGCCGCCAACAGTAGCTCTTGGGAACCGACGAGACGCGACCTGGCCTGGCAGGTGTTCGTAATCGACGCCTCAGCTCCGTCCGCCCCTGAATCACCCCGGGCCCGACGCAGGGCCGATCACCCTCAGGCGCGCTTCAAGGCCACGCGCCGCGCGCACGGATTACATTGCCGAGGCTCAGTCTTGCACAGCAGTCAGCAGGCCTCCTGACTGCTCTGCAAGACTCCCGAGAGAACTTCCACCCTTGGTGGGAGATCAGGCTCGGATTTCGCTGAATCGCCGGGGCATGTGGCGAGGCGAGCGCTCCCCGTCAATGGCAACCGCGACCGCCATCCAAGCAGCCCCGGAGGCCATGTTTTGGGCACGGCTTCTCAAAGGATCCCCGAACAATCGCGACGGCGCGGTCCCCAACCGCCCGGGCCTGGCGCTCCGCCTCTTCGCGCAGTTCCCCCTCCGACTTCAAACCGCCCCTGCGCACCCCGCCGGAACAACGACGGGCCGCGCGGAAGTAGCGGGAAGCACCGCACGGCGACCACCCACCCCCAGCATAAAGAATCCAAGGATGCAGAGGGGGCAAACTGCCCTTTCCCCAGCCACTCCCACCGTCGCGCGCCCAAAGGAACGCATGCCGCGCGGTGCACCGCAAAGCCCTCACCCGCGAAAAGCAACGCCGACAACAGCGCCGCGACCATCCACACGAGCTCCATATCCCCGCGCCCCAGCGGCATTCCCTCTGAGCTAAATCAAGCCCGGCGTGGCTACGAGGCCGAACACCGGCCCGGCGCAGTGGCCCCGCTCGACCGCCCGGCGCACCGGGAAGTGGTGGCGGGATCAGTGAAAGAAGGCGTTGCTCGTTGGCGGATGGGATGGCCCATTGCGAGGGGGGAGGTCGCCCGATCCCTGAGGCGCCACGGCATCAACGTGATCGGGGTTGTGAGTAGTGGCGACCTTGGGATCCATGCGGATCCACGTTGCCGTGATGGAGACATGCGAATGTGGGTGCCGAATTCGACGGAAACTTGCCCTGGAGTTGATTGCTCGGTGGCGATGTGGCTTAGCGCTCTGTGGTTTTGGGTGGCCACTCCATTTGATGATGACCAGGCAGGTGCACGCCGACGCTCAGAATCCGATCCTGAGAGGCCAGAGATTCCTGGCAGGAAATATTCGATCACATCATGTAGTTCCAATCCAGCTTTGTTGGTCAAGCCACAAATGTTGAGCGTGTTTTGCCCACAGGAAAAGTGCCAACTGAGCTTGTGTTTCCATTCGTGACGCTCTTGGTGACGAATGCCCTTTTGCCCCGAGCCTCGGGATCTACATGTCTAAAAGTAAGTGCGACTTTGATTAACTCGCCACAAAACCTAAAGCAATGGAGCTTGGGCGCAGAAGCTTGTGCCTAGTACCCACGAATCAAGTTCAATCGGTATTGAAGGGATTCTCTGGGTGGGCGGGGGTGGGGCCAGGGGAGGAATACGGAGGGTAGTGGAGACATGCCACCAAGCACATTGCCTGGGAACAGTTGATGCTACTGGATTCACGATCAGCAGGGTGGTTGGTGCATAACCACAGTGGCCCTGGATACCCGTGCTTGCGTCGTAGATTCATGTGGTGGATCTGTAAAACGGCCTAGGATTGTTTTGAAGCACGTATCAATGGAAATGAAAACGCTATGCCGAAAACAATGATGCCACAGGTTAGGTGTTTGCAAAACTAGCTTTAATTCTCCGTGCGTGTACACCATCACATCGCCAGCATGGTCGAATGACGCGCTTGATGGTTAAGGGAAGACCCTATTTTGAATTTGCACGCTCAGCATCTATGTGGCGCCAAGCTCAGCCGCCAACCGCCCTGCCCCCGCGTTGGCTTCAATCCTTATTTCAATGCCGGGACGACTGAGCAACATTACCTTGCAATGCCATGCAAAAGAAGTGTGTGCCCAAGGATCAGCTGGGTGCAAGCATCCCTGACATTATGACGAAACACCTCTAGTACAGGTAGTGTCGCCCTGATTCTCGTCAGCAAACTCAATGTGTGCACACTAAACTCCAATGGCAATCAAGCACACAGTATCCTTAAAGCAAGGAACACTTCGCCATCATTACGCCGTCGGCCCTGGTCTCGTCCTCAGATGCATGGGCAGTCAAATGAACTTGACCACCTGCTCGATCACGGTGACCCCCATCAGCATTTGTGGCCACCTTCAATGGCCTGCAATCCAAACGCCGTGCTGCAAACTGTACTTGGCAAGCCGGGATGTTTCCAATTGTTTGCTGCAGCTCGTTGCCAACTGGACTGCCCAACAATCGAGCATCGCGAATCTTCAGAGGGACCTTCACGCTCTTGCGAATACCGTGCTCTCATCAGGCCCCTCCAGCGCCCCCTTCCGAAGAAAAAAGTCCAAATGGCGAAAACACCCTCCATTTTCACGTGCGAAACCTCCGCAGCACGTACCATTGACGCGACAGCTTGACAAGTTTCCGTCACGTTCCCCACGCACCTCAAGTGTCCGGCACCAGAACCGTGTCGATTACGTGCACCACCGTCTTGCATGCCGCTACGTCCGGTTTCAAAAGCAGCGCGGGCTTGCTCTTCTCGCCGCCGGGGGCGTCGATTTTGACGGCGTCCTTCTTGCTCCTGCGGAATTTGAGGTGCTGCTTCCCGCCCAGCAGCGTGTCGAGCTCAAGCCCGTCGGTGAGGTCATCCGAGGATGCGGCCGTGTCAGGGACGACGTGCAGCTGCAGAACCTGCACCGAAGTAGGTTCAGCGCAAGTCAAAGCACGGAGGTTCAATCATGCAGCGCCAATAGGGCAACGCTGGTGAGGTGGGCGGAAAATACGATTTGAGCCCATTTCGTCACAGAAAAGGTTCAAATGGGCCCTGTTACATGCTAAGACAACTTTAAGACACTTCTAAGACAATTTGAGCGCAGTTGGATCCCGTGTGAAAAGGGGAGTTTCCTTGCGAATTCCAGGACACGCGCGTTGCTGTGTGCGACCAGGCGGCGATGCGGAGTGTCGCGTATTGCATATCGCTGCCTTCGCCAGACGCAGCGCGTCGGCTCTCAATCCAGCGAGCAGAAGCACGCATTATGTTTGCTGTGGTATGGACAAGAGGGCCGATGCTGTCGATCGCACATCTCGAGACGCGGTGCAACTGGTGGATTCTTCGCGCCTGCGAGAGCTCTTGAACGCTCGAACAGTTCGCTAGGTGTACCGCATCATGTACCATCGCACAAATAGCTTTTGAGAGAATCACAGGCAACAAACACATCAAAACAAATTGAACCCCGAAGAGCAAGCAGAACACCTGTCCACGTGGTTCACGTTTGTTTTCGAGAACGCAACAGCTGCTCTCAACAGCAGATCAGCTGTCACTCTCCGACGCAGCCTGGCTTTTGAGAAGGAAGCGTCCGAGCAACCATCAGCGCCAGCCAATGAGGTGCGCACATCCAACTTCAAGTTTGTTGAGTCAACGGCAACCCGAAATTTGTTGCGATTGGCGTAAATTAATTAGTGAAAAGCGCGGAATCCTACCTTTGACATTGCGACGGACAAATCATCCGAGGACAACTTCTTTTCCCACCCCAGGTGTTTCTTGAAATGCTTGAAGGCTGCGTCCGTCGGTGCAAAGATGGTGGCCTCGAGATCGTCCTTGTCGAGCGCCTCGTTCAAACCGGTACTCTGAAAGATCAAAGCGCGCAAGTACAGCTTTTAGGTGCGACGTACGAAAGTGCAAATACGATTAAAAAAGTCGTTGTGCAACCGAACATTCCATTGTGTATATTGATTTTTGGAATACATGATGCAATGCATAGCTGGTAGCATATGTATTGCGTTGTTTAGTACAGAACCTGCACATCGTCAGTGTGAGCGCACAAATTCAAATTTAGATTCAACTGAATGACCACATTGAATGCATTCTCAACCGTAAGCCACAACAGTGCAACTCGCGGTTCAAAATATAATTCAAAGCCACTCAGGCAATTACATCAGGCAACCAGAGATGGTCCAAAACAACAGGAAAACATTGTGTCAAGCATTCCCATGAATGAAAATTTTGCACCTCGCATTGCAGGCATATCTTGCTCAGAGCATGCAGACCCAACTAACTGTGATTCAATCCACAGTGATGTGATGAGCCGAGGGGTATCACCATCCTCCTCTATGCCGACAAATCGGTGCTCACTGGGTGGTTAGCAACTGCTCTCATACACAATTCCCTGTTGGACACAAATCGGCGCACCACACAACCGCAACTACAGCAACAGTCGTCATCTTGATCAGCTCTCCTCCGCGCCCCTACCTCTATAAGCTTTGCCAGCTGGGACAATGACTTGTCTTCCCCAATCACTGCCATGGCGGTTGAGCACTTCGTGGCGGTGTCCTGGGCGCTCGTGGGGCTCCTCTTGGGCGGTGGCAGCGCCTTTGCGGTGCCCGGAGGGGGCGGCGACCCAACTTTGGCCCCCGCTGGGGTGGCAGAGGCCAGCAGTGGCGCTCCTACCACTGCTGCCCCTCCAGGCGACGCCGAAGTTGTGAGCGACGGGGGTGGGGTGGCAAAAGTCGACTCTTGCGAAATAAAAATCAAAAGCATCCTATAAATCAAAATCATTTCCTAAAAGATCGGAAATCGGAAATCGGCGAGATCCGTCGCAAAAACTCAGCAAAAGCAAAACAAAAGAAAAAAAAATCACTTGAAATCAAAATCCAAAATAAATCCACTCGTGCCGGCGAGGATGTGGAGAGTGGCGGCGTCGATGGAAACGTGGCGCTTGTGCCCGGTGGCAGGACTGGAAAGGAGGCACAGGGCTTTTGGTGTCAGGGAGCAATGAATGCAATGGCCGCGAATGCGCTCGTGCTCTGGGGAGTCTCATCTGGCAACTGCGTTTGCAGGCTGTGGATAGAGGGTTCCCAAGCGATGGCGGTAATCGCGGAGAAAAAAGCTCCGCGCTGAGGTAGCGCAACATATTTACGTTCTGAACCCTGTTTCAGGAAAAAGCAGCTCAGTGGGTAACGCCCAGTGCTCTAATACCTTTTTGTACAATAACTTCTGAAGAAATGTCCCAGTAGTGGAGTAGAAATGAATTGGTTACTGCTCACGAAGGGTGCGATTCTGAAGGCACCGTCCAACAAATGTGACGAAATCGCACCGTTAAACATTAAGCCCACGGAGTCAGCAGTGTCGAATTGACTAATGGGGGCAATGCAAATATGCGTGAAAGCATGTCCAAACGGGCACGAAATCATATGCCCCTCCGCTGGCCACTCGTCACAGCGCAGTGGTAGCTGAGAGACACGTCGACAGTACAAATTGGACGCTGAGTGTTTCTGAAGTTGTGCAATAGTTTGCTGCTGCATTATGGAGACGCTCGTACTGACGAGGCGCCTATTTCAGAATGATTCCGAAACTGGCGTTTCATCAGTGCAATCCAATATACATTTTGTAAGTCTCGAAATCCGTCAAAATCTCCAAGACCAACGTCGTGAACGGGAAAACATGTCGATTCCTTGGCTGGACCTCAGCGGGTGCCCCAACGCACTGCGCTTCCTTACACCCATGGCAGGCAAACTTACGAGAGGGCTTCAGCGAAGGCAAAGTTGCCTTGGGAGAGGGTGGCGGTGGCGGTGGTGGTGGAGGCGGCGGCGGCGGCTCAGGTTCTGCAAACACAACGAACGAAATGTAAATAGCACTGACAAGGGGAAACCGATGTGATATTCAGGCACCAGCGGTATTCGGTCGACATCCTATGTTGTACAAAACTTTGTGTTCATTGAAGCAAAACGTCAATGCCAATTTACCCGAAACGGCATTTCCATCTTCATTCACAGAACTGCGCGTCGCCAAATTGTCGAACATATACACACGTTTTCAGCTGTCACGTTGAAGCCATCTGCTTGTGTGCCACGCAGGTTTCGAAGTGCGATTTGGCAGCGACAGATTCCTGGAGATCAGGTCAGCATTTTCCAGCTGTAATTAACTTGGCAGGTGTGGCTCACCTCCAAAAATCAGGTCGAGTAGAGGCCCTTGCTCCCTCACCAGCGGCTCCGCATCAAATTCCTCCACCGTCCCTGGGCATGTCAGCCGTCCTCTCACTGGAACTTCGCACTTTATCAACCTAATTACACATTCACCATTAGTGAGTTTCTTCCTCTTGGAGTTATTCATGGAATCCACGTTAATAACATGATTCCATATTGTGGAACAGTATCTGATGCTTCAGAGAGGGCAGAGACGCATTTCCGACTCATTGCATTTCAATAAGAATTGAATCAAACAGTGAATTGACAACGTCACCGTTGTCGCCATCATCTCACTGTATATGTAAATTCTTATTGGAACTAGCTGCCAAGCCTTTTAGCAACATTTGCAGCTAGTATGCTGTGAGCATGTCCTCATGCAAACAGGGCTCGTGAGCAGCTTTTTACATCGCCATCAGGGACGAACCGTGAGCTTGCTACATTCCAGTGCCTATTGCGCTTTCTGTCAATCCTGCTGCCGGACACATTTCCAAAGATAATATCTAACTATGCATTTGATTGCAACACAGAAGCAACTGAGTTTCTGTTGTCACGTTCTGCAAACGCTTTCTGCTCGTTTGGCAGAACACCGGGGCCTTTCAATCTGAGACAAGCCACACACATGTGTGTGTGCTTGTCAATCCCACGATTTTAAAAAGGCCAAACATAAAGAACAAAATCCCGTCCTGTTTGCCAGAACCGGGCAATCGAGCCGCAAGAGATCGACAAAGGCTTTGTATCTGACAGCAATGAGTCAGGCTAGATTTGATCCATTCAAATGCATCAGAGCTGATTTGCACCGTTGCCATAAGAAGTGTCTTCATTTTCCGATTCCTTGATTGGATTCCGATTCTTTACACAAAGTGCCCAGGCATAAGAGCGATTGTACGATCGGCGTCTGGGTGGACTCACATATCTAAGTAGCTATCTGGAAATATGCCAAGTCTTGGAGGCACCTCCATGAGGATGCGAGAAAAATAGTCAACATCGCACAGGCCTGCATCACACAGACCTTGTTTCAGTGGATTTGCATGCCAAGGCGCCTTCTTCCTCTTTTTGCATTTCAAAAATAATAACAGCAAGAACAATGGTCATCGTCGTTCATGAATACACAGAAACAACAGTAAGCAGCATGTGGTAAGAATGAGAAAAACCCCCAAGCATTCGTCTGATTAAGTTGGATTTCTTTCTGGCGTTTCCATACACGCATCAAGGGTACACGCATCAATACTGCTTCAACTCTTGTCCGCGTTTGGAACCACGCTGGTCGAGTCACAACACCGCAGAAGTTCAGCAATCTGGCAGCCGCCAAATTGGGGCATTAATATTGAAGTGGAATGTCTGGGACATGTGAGCAGTCACGTGTGAGTCACTGTACAATGGCTGTCCACAGAACTACGAACCTTTAAAGATGTGCCAGTTGGCTGCCCGCAGTCTAAACTGAACACTGGACAACCACCATCTTTTTAATGAAAGCTCTCCCATACCTAAACAAACTCTAGTCAAGTAGTTTTGTATGAAGCCTTCAAGGATTACTCGATAGCAGGCTGTTTTGGCACATCCCATGTGAACGACGAATATTTTAGGCAACTGTGTTTGATCCAACATCCTTGCGAACAAGAGCTGCAACAACTTGAAGTGTGCAGTGACCTCACATAAGCACCTCAGCGTTCAGCAGACCTCTTAACGTCCTCAAGAATGCTCGATTCGTGACAGTTTAATTGCAATCAATTGTGGTTTTCACATTCGCTCTCCGCATTTTGCTGCCAACATCTTCTGAAGCCACTTACAATACGCAAGTTGCCCTGCTGCGCCAAAAAGGTCTCGAACCTGTTCATCACAACACCAATCGTGGGGCGGCGTTAATCGCAGCTTATGTTACATCTGTGCGCCACAGTAAATTCTGCATTAGAATGTCAATTACACAGCAACAGTCCCATGTAAGCCAGCAGCGCTGAACAGACATGACTCCGGAGACCTATCAAACAACGCTGCCAGTTGTGCGCTGTATAAAAGAGGCGAGCGGAGCATCGTACGTCGGTCTGTCCCATCGAGTGCGCTTATGTATCCTCCCCCGTCTCGCGCACCTTTGTACTGTGCCTTAAGCTAGGAAAAAAAGGGCCAAATAACACTTTTGAGAACACACATAAAACACATTTCATCAAAGGTCTGCACGCTAAGAACACAAAAATAACACAAACCCGTAAAATTTGTACACGCTTGAACACGTGTTATTTGGCCCTTTTTTCCTAGTGTTAATGGCTTCAAAACATGGAAACTGCTCATATCCCTCATGTTCAACATGCGATTCCACAAGTGGGAAGCAAGTCGCGGATACGTAGAGCACACTACCAGCAACTTTGAACGCGCTGCCGACAGAGCATTCTTGGCTGCGCCGTTGTACGCCGGGAGCTCTAAATGGACTTGAGAAGCTTCCATGCGCTCATTTCATTATGCCGTTGCGTTCTTTCTTCCCTCTGAGTTCGCCCTCTATTTTGGAAATTTTGGGTATCGCGTCTTCAAAGCCCACCTTGGAGCAGCAGTCCACGTCCGCGTTGCCTTCAGCGCATCCCTCCGAAGATGTCAGCAGCTTTTCTGGCCCCACGAGCAGCGACCTCTTCACGCAGGTCTTCGAATCGGGCGCCTCCTGGATTTCAGCTCCTGAGAACAGCACCGACTCGCCATTTGAAGACGGGGAACTCAGCAACGCAAGTGCGGGATCCTGGGTCAGAAACCAAAAACCGGGCTTCCACATGTTTCCGCATTCTCTATACTTCTTCCCCATTTTGGATGGCACGGTACCGCCCGCCTCGCGTCGTCCAGATCGTCGATCACCTGACCGCCGAGCTTGCGGAGACCGAGGTGCCGCCCGAATGCCGACGAGAACAGTGTGGGGAGGAGCCTGGAGACTGCTGCCGCGGCTAATGGCGACGGATTTTCCGACCCATATCGCAGCCAAGGCGGATGGCGGCGGCCTGAGGCATTGCCGCCGGACTCTCCCTGTCCTATCGAGTCGCGCCCCGCCGGCGCGCCGCTGGTGGTCCGCAAATTTGGCAGCATGGGCTCTGTTCTGAAGTACGTGAGGAACGCAAACCGGTAATTCGAACATCGCCATGGCGACTGCTGACGGGGGCGAATGCCCGCCACGATCTCGACGCCGCCCCTCGGCGCCCGCAAGCAACCTTTGCCGCAAACCCCCTTGTCGATTCCAAGACGGCGATTTCGCCGCTGGGAAGCAACTTGCGCTTCGGCTGGCGACGCACCGAGCCCCGGCGGGGGTCACCGTTGCCGTGGCCCAAGGCTTGCCCTTCCCGGTGCACACGCTCATGGGAGCCGGCGGGCAAATTCGCCCCCAAGGCCGTCCTTTGCTGCTGCGCTTTCGCGACCCGCCCACGCGACGCAGCGCACTAGTGGCCTGCCGTGCGCTGGGATTTGACTCGTACCCGCCACGACCAGCGCCGCCAGCGCCGCGATGGCCACTCCCGCGCGGGCCATGGGGCCCCCAGAGCAGTATTTAGGGACGGCGGTTGCCCTCTCCTCCCGCGGGCGCCCGCTCAGGCCTCCGCAGTGTTGGCCCTCCTGGGGGCCTTGCCTTGCGGCTCGCCACCCTGGCGGTACTTGCCCGCGGGGCGCGGGGAATCAAACTCGTGGGAGACGTCGCCATCGATCCGGGGCATCCCTCAGCATGCATGTCAGTCGAGCGATCCATTCACGCCGATGCAAATGAATCGAAAGGGGAGTCGACATGAAAGTGGGAGCCGTCGCCAGTACGCCAAAAGCAGCTGCGGGAGCCCTTTTCACACGTCACATCGAACAGCTCCCGTTCAAAAGTGCAAACTCTGATCGCCGTACCCTTCTGTGCCCAAATTCAGCACGGGCGTGTGCATCTGAGGCCTCCAGGACCTTGCGCACCGACGCCTGCAGGCTAGTACAGCTG